AGATTTGTCGATTTTTTTCTCTTTTTTTCACGATGGCTGCATGGTTATTCGCTTCGTGAGGCATGAAGATGTAGAATCAAATGACTCGTGTGTATTTCTCCGTATTATGTTCTCGAGGGATTCCAACGAAATCGAATGCATCTGACAATCATTCGGCAATATGTGCAACTGAGAAGGATATCCTCTGATTGCATGCATGCAACGATGCGCATCCTATTGGATATCAGGATAGATATTCAACTGATACACCCCAGAGTCCTTTGATCAAAATTCAACGGTGTTTGACAAGCAGAACATATTACGCTTCAAGAGTTTGTCAGTACGGCCTTCAACCGGATATCAATACCGGAGATGTTAAAGTGTTAAAAAATTGTTGGAAAAAAACTTTTATCTTAATTTACTTCACTTTGATTTCTCAACGGAATTTCTCGGAATTTCTTTCACGATCACAGTACATGCAACAATGCCCTTCACTTTCGTCAACATCTCTCCAACTTTTGCCTCTCTATACCTCACCGTCCGGAAAACTCTCTTGTCATTTCACGAGGAGAGAAAAAGTAGAAAAAAGTGTAGGACACAAAGTTGTGAAGTTTTCTCATCTACTTATGTGTCCCAGCTTGTATCAAAACCACACTCTCCAGTTTACAACTTTTCAATTCGCCGGGGATACAGGTCACTGGAGGGTAGAAATATCCGGGAAAAATTGCTCACTAAAATTCCAACTGCCAACAAGATTTATCATCGTTTGATAAAAACAATTAAAAATTAAATTTTCAAGAACAATGTTATTTTATTATAGGGCTTCATTTTTCAACAGTTTTATAGTGATGTAAACTGAGAGAAAAATGAGCTCTGCCGTAAAACTATATGTTGCAGGTGTTTACTTGAGGGAAATTAACTAACTCTTGATGGAAAAAAATTTAATACCTTTCACAAAAATTTAATTTTTCTCGTGATCATTAGAAATTTTACGACAATCATTTGATATAAGAGAACTCCATAGGTTTATATCATAGAAAGAATACAGTGACGAGGAACAGAATGCTTCATCCCAAAAAAAATTGTCCTCTTGAAATTATGATTTGTTCCGTGAAAATTATGAGTATTTGTTGGACAAAGATATAGGCTGCACAATAATATTCACTCGATAAAACCGGAGCCGCATATAATTCTCTGCAGAACGACTGTATTTGCCCGAAAGAATATAAATATCTCACGAGAACAATTACTACCCTCGAAAATTATTGTTTTGGTCAAAATTTTCTTTTTTGTCCACAAGTAATTTTTCGGCAGAAGTAATTTCTTCTCAGTGTAAGATCCTTGAAATCTGAGAATAAGAATTTTCCATTCTGGGTGTCCAAATATCCAGCGAAAACTAAGAAAAGAGAAGAACAAAAGGGGCACAAGAGAATAGACTGGCGAAATGGAGACTAGCTGTACCACAAAGTCATAAGTAACCATGCACCCAGCACAATCAACTGCTATTATACTCCAAGAGCAGTGGTAACGAAAGTACGGAGGGAAGTTGAAAACAAGTGCTTCAGTGGTTCGTGAAATGCGATAATAAGCGATCATTGGGGCTCTCACGTGTAACCATCAAGCTACAAGTTGCAAATTTTCCATCATCAGAGCCATCTACGCAGTGCTATAAAATGAATCCAGTGATTAACGTGGATCTCCTCACCCCCGTAACATGGCTCAGTAATTATTCGATAACAAGGTCGTTTCAGTTTGCTAGAGCTCATGGATTTACTACCGCTCATTCGGCCAGATGAATTGCTTCAGCACATGTGAATATTTCAATGATTAATGCACATTATGAATCACTGGATCCACAATATTAAGCTCCACAAATTGATATAATTCATCTGCAAGCCATTTTCTGCGTCTCTATCTCATTTTTTTCTTCGCTCCATCCCCTTGAATATTCATCACTTTCCTCAACCCTTTTATATTTTGGGAGAAAACAAAAAAAGATGCCCGAAAGATCGGAGAAAATTGTAGGAAAGCTTTTCTTGGGGTTTAACCACTTTACAAGAATTCAAAGTTTAACTCTCATCACAGTTTATTCCGGAATATCGTAGAATAGAGGAGGGTAAACGCTGAGAATGATTTCGAAGGAGTCCACTTGGACCATTTCTTTTTTTCTAGTCTAATGTTCTCCGTTGATGCTTCTTGACTGGGGGATTGCTGAATGAGGTTCTAAGATGTTTTGCTCGAGTCTCTTTTGTGGCATCATTCGTTAAATCTTTGAAACGCTTTTCTCCGTCTCCCATACGTCAAACTGGAGTGCTTACAAATTAAATGCTTCACCCTCACCCAGAGCGGAGAATTTATATGAATAATGGAGAATAGCGAGTCGATAATTCATCGCATTTCTTTTGTTGGGGGAAAATATGGGTTCATTTCATACTTCTGTTTGAAATTAGACTGTTACACTGAGAAATATTCGACGTCGACTTAAAAAGAAGCGCTCAACTTTGGACAAAATTCACAAGCGGCGACGTGGTTTTTGAATCAAGAGTGTCGTCATCAATTCATTGCTTTCAATTCATTGCAGTCAAAAAAGCGCGTCCTTGATTCAACGTCACCGGAGTTTGGTTCAACATTGACGGAAATCATTCAAAAGCAGGAACTTTTGGTCTAAGGTTCCTCATGTCTTTGATTTTTATATCCACGAGATCGGCGGCGCGTGCTACGCACTCGCCTTCTCATCTCCTCACGTAGTGGCGCCTCGGTTTCAGTTTTACGCTTACGCTTATTCGAGATTTTCGAGATATATCGAGATCGATTTCCTTTCTCCTTTTTACGATAGGATCAAAATTGAAGGGTTAGGCAGTTGATGCAATGCCTTACGTCATTAAATTGTAAAAGTCAAAGACTCGTAGGTCTTTGGAACAAAGATGCCCTCGACTTTGATTCAAAAACCCGTTTTTTTAGAAATTGCTTTAAATCTGAGTCACGCGGCTTGAACGCAGTTATGGGCGCAATGCCCTGAATTAAGCGCCGCGCCCTTGAACGAGCCTCGGATGTTTCTGAGTAAAGAAATTTTTTGCGAATTGAGCAATAATTGCATTTGAATTCTCATATTCTCAATGTTGTGGAATCTCGTATTCATCGTTGAAAATTCCTCGTATATGAATACCATTTTCAATTTGAGCTTTGGAGACTTTCGCGGCCATCATTATTATTCATGGCCGATAATGGATTCCATAACAATGACTATTTTCAATTTATTTGTCTTGCCATGGATATTTATCTTTGTATACTTTAAATCCTATTGTTAGCTTCGACAGTTACATTCGCGTTTCAGTAAAATAACTAATTAAATAAATACAATTTTGTTCTCAGCTTCTTTTTTCACGAAAAAAACAGAGGTTTTGCGGGCACTTCAAACTACATATCCCAACGATTCACAAAGAGGAATTTCGGAAGCCTGTGGAACAATTTAATAAGTTACAAAATGTTCCAAGAGCACCGAATAAAAATTCAGTTGTTCACCCAATAATTTGCGATCGTTTTCTTATTCTTATTCTTCAAATTTATTGTTGTGAAAAAGTAGAAAAAATCATTGTAATATGCGGGAGGGGGGCGGGGGGTCGTGGATTTCGTGACGTAATTGAAATTTTTCAAGTTTGTACAATTTTTCTCAATTACGGGGAAAGTTTGATGCTCATTAAAATGGATAATTTGCGGTCGGTTTACTCAGCACTGTGGTCCAACGGCATCCTCCGAAATTCGTAACTTCTGAAATTACCTTAAAATATCAGAGCACCAAAGCACTACCTTCAATGAAGAAACCACAGGTGAAATTTATGCATAACCGTTTACCATAAATTCCGGGGGAAGAGGATCGCATAGGCTGCTTGACCCATTTGTAATCCATCACTCTCATCCCTGCGAAGAGTCATGAAGACAGTTTTAATACTTCGTTGGTCACCTTGAGCAAAAATTTGTCGAACAATTCCGGGAAAATTGAAAAAAAAAAAAATTACCGACGATGTTCAAAATATCGTTCATCAAAGTTCAAGTTTTTTTTTCAGATGGGTTCAAAATAAACAATCCTCTACCGGCGAATTTTACTAAACACGAGGATAATTTTTGCATCCATAGATGTATTGTTTTACCTAAAAAATCTTGAGATATCCATTAAAAAGCAGTATTTTTTCACTGAATTGCATTTCGCTCCACGATTACCATTCGTGGTGCGAAATGTAATTTTTATCCCACTTTTCTCTCCGTATAGGTAGGTAGAAGGTCTATAGCATAAGCTAATAAGTAGCTGGAGAGTTTGAACATTTTTAATGGGTCTTTTCAAACGATTATGAAAGAAGACAACATAAATACTGGTACAGAATGGAGTGCATAACTATTTCCTCGTGTGAATGAGAATGTTTCGATTGTTCAGTTGTTTAAAAAACTTCGGTCATTAAAATAAACTGCCCCTCTTGAGTTACGCATCCAATTTATTCTGGAGTTTCAAGATCATTACAATACATTGACACGTAATTGACTGTTGCCTATATTTGAATCCAATGGCATTATTTCATCAGTCTTCTTCCCTCGTTCCACGTGTATTAATTATGGAACTTCCTATTGATCAATTAGAAATCCTTTCAAAGGTCCGAATAACAGCAATCTCCATCTATGAAAGTTTTACGAAATAAGGCCAACAAAATGACACTGAACAGCAATCGATTGCTCCCAACATTTTAGTCAGATTATATTATTTTATGTTCTCACTTTAATTTCCGATGATTGGTCAAATTTTATGAAAAATCGAAGGAATGTAAAAGCCCACTAGCAGCATCGTAAAATATTCAATTAGTCGTAACACAGCACTCTCTCCAAGTGGAAACTTTTCGCAATATTCAACTCAAAGATATCACCCAGTGCAATTTGTGAGTCGTGTCGGAGCACATCTGCAGCAGCTATCGGCACCCTGTTCCACAGCATTACCTCGAAGCACAGGAATTTCTGAGAGCAAGCATCGGTTGATCATGTTCAACCGAAAGATTTCACTCGTCATCTTCGTGATTACAATTCTGTCCGATGATCTTCAAGGTCGTCCAGAAGGTGACTGGTTCGAAAGTGTGAAGACACGTCTATCTAATCCTCATCAGGTATATTCCGCAATGATTATCCGGGATAATAATACAGACGATTTCGATGTACTGAGGGACGAATTGTTTGGAAAAATCATAGAGTCCATGCCAAGTGAAATATTCTCAAATCTCGATGGTGTCCACAATTCGAACAATTGGTATCGCAATGTTTCTTCGAGAATGGCCTCCTCCCTGCTCTTTGTATATTATCATAGATACTCTGGAGACAATACTCGAGTTCATGAAGTGATTAATACTATGCGCGGATTATCAAAATTGTCTGCCAAGTGTTACTTTCTCATCGTACTAAGAACATCATCAGTTTCGAAGGAAGGAGTAGAAGACATGCTGCGGCATTCGTGGAACAACACAATGCTGAATATTCTGATTTGCGAGATTCGTCGAGATGAAAATAGCAGTGTGACTAACTGGAAAGTTCCCAACGATGAGTCTAATCGAGTGATCATTCACCTGTACAACCCTTTCCTCGACAAATTTTATCACAAGAAATTTTTTCCCAAACTTGAGCTATTTCCAGATTTCGCAAGTAATATGTATGGAAAGAAACTGAATGTTTTGATTGTCCAGCAGGTGCCACTTACCTTTGTCAAATGGGACAAAAATAATGAAATGACGGAAATGTCTGGAGCAAATATTGCTCTGATGCAGACGCTTGCTGGAGCGATGAATTTCACGCCCGTCATTCTGCCAAAGTGGAACGGTACTGGATTTTCAGTGAAGACCCGCACGTTTGATGCATGGAAATTCTTTAAAACGACAAATACGGACATAACTGCTAATCTAGAACCTCATTTCACGGAGCATATCTCAGAGGAATCCCTGAGATTTCGACCTATCATGGCTCAAGAGGTAGGTGTGCTAATGCCAGTGGAATATGCAATCGACAAAAAGTATCAAGATAATGCTGTTGAGAGCAGCATAATCACATTAATCATAATGATGATATTTTGGTTCGTAGGGATTCTTCTGAGACTTGACAAGAAGATATGGAACTTTTCCATTATTATTTGCCTGTTGTTCTCATTCTCAGTACCTCGACAGCCGTCCAAAGCCTACGAAAGGATCCTATTTCTCTCGTTATCCATGCTAGGTTTCATGTACTCGAATCAGATTTACGCTTCATTAACAAACGTCGCTGTTCTCTCTCTTGAAGAAAGAGAGTTTGTGACATTTGAAGAAATCGATGCATCAGGCTTAATTCCCATTGTTCCAATTGCACACTTCGAAAGAGTGTTCCGGAATGCAGTTGGAGCTGAGCTGAATTTAAAAAAGAAAAGCCAAATAATTGTTAATATTAGAGATTGTCCGAAAATGGCAATGGTGTATCGCAATGTTTGCTGCATCATGTACAATACCGAGGGGGAGTATTACAGACGTCTGAGTCGACAAGATAATGGTCAATATCGATTGAAATTTGCTAAACCAATTTTGCGGTCTGATAATGGAGCCTTTGGAGTTCGCGACACTTCCCCCTACAAGACGAAAATCAATTATTTAATTCAGAGATGTTTTGAAGCAGGCCTTATCAGCAAATGGTATCTGGAAGCAATCAGCCCGTCAAGGAGCGGAAATATCTTGAATGACGACAAACCTAGTCGTGGTGAGAGATCAGCAACTTTTAGGCGGCAATTGATGGTGGTCATCGTATTTGGCCATTCACTTGCTACTCTTGTGTTTTTCGGGGAATTACTTGTCCATCGCTTGAGGATTAGTCACAGTAATATCGACAAGAGCAGGCTCAATCTACGGAAATTATGGAAAATGAAAACAAAGTAATGACAGTGACAGTGAATTTTTGAAATTTGAAACTTTTAAATGAGTTTTCCATACAGGTCAATGTGTTTCATTATTATTTTTTTTCATTCTATTTCTGTTTTTTTTTTCATTAAGAAAATCAAACAAAAAACTTGGCAAATTTGAGCCGAGGAAATTCAACGGAAATTATCTCAATAGAATAAGTTGCATAGGTAAATCTACTTCTAATGGATGAGCGAAAGCAATTAGTCGGGAAGTTATTGGTTCGACCCGTCATGGGGAGCGAGCGAAGCGAGCGACCAACAAACAAAGCTTTTGATCTAGGTATTACACTGTTAAAAAATTTTCCGGTAAGTCTTAGAAATTTTTAAGGAATAATATTTCCACTAAAATTTCAAGGAATAGTGTCATTGAAAATTCATAATTTCACGGAAACAGCCGAGGGAACTGTAAATTTCAGTTTAATTCTCCAGGGAAAATGAATGAAAAATCAGAAAAATTCAGAGAAATCTTTCCTAGAATTCAAGATTTCTCTGAATTTTCAGGGAATTCCTTTAAAAATTCCGGCAATTTCAAGAATTTTAAACAAAGTCCTTCAAAATTGAAGGGAATTTGATAGTTAATACTCATTTTTAGTTGAAAATTCATGTAAATGGTGCAATTTCCGTCTTCCTGCCGCTAAAAAATGGGATTTCACTGGAATTTTTTGAGAAACTTGGAATTCCATTGACTTTTTTCTCTTAAAAAAAATTGAACGTCTTTTTCCGGAAAATTCAGCCAAATATTTTCAACAGTGAAGAGATAATAAGAAGGGAGAAGGAAACTGATATTAATAATCAGCACTAAAATTCCATTCATTTCAATTTGAGTGTTGTGCACCATATGTTTGTCTTTAATGACCGATTTATTATTGTAAATAATTGACATACGCGTTTAAATGAAGAATAAAAATTCAATTATCAGAAGTCGATGCTAATTACTCTCGCAAACGAAACCTGTCTTCTATCCTCCATGATCATCTCAAAGAATTGAAAATGCTCAATGATATTCATACGTCAAGACAACGTCTGAGGAATCCCGCCAAGAAACACCGGAAAACGAATGCTAATCAATTTACTGTCACAAGCAAATGCACGTGACTTCCAATCGCGATGTTATCTCATTCCACCAAGGAATCGAGTGAGAGAGTCTCATTCCAAGTTTCACCTCGATATTTCCATCCCTTCCGTCAGAAATCAATGATCAATGTCACGTTCCGAGGGCCTCCCATCGATCGATACGTCATTAAAACGAAAGGTAATGCGTGAAATTGGAACGAAAGTGCTTAAAAGTGCACCTCGAGCCTGTATGGCGTTAATTAATCAATGCTCGAGGCATTAAATAATGACTAATGGCAGACAGCATCAGCAAGTACGTGGCCTTGAATAACGTTCAATGGAGCATACATTGATTACACGGGTGACGGAGTTGTTATCGAATTGGATCACATAAATTTTTTCTCACCTCTCCCTTCCAACTCATGAGGATTTTTTCATCCTGACAGAGACTCACACACGCGATTGTTGAAATTTCCCGTTGTACAATCTCCTCTACACCCACGAGGCAAAACCCCTGACCCAGATTCACGCGTTTCCATTCCTTTTTGATAACATTTCGATGGAAAATTCTGACACTGCGATAATCTCAGGTAATTGAGTTGAACGACCATTCTGTTACGACTCGTGGATTTTTTCATATGGAACAGGCTGAGAATGTGGCGGGAGAGTGGTGATATTGATGTAAAATAATCACTGGTGGAGGCCATGAATACAGAATGCGGGAATATCGAATCTCGATTATCGGGGTGTTATGGAGTTTGCATTCGGAAGTAGGAGGTCTTTTGAGGTGTTCTGAGGTATGGTGGTGGGGGAAGCCGTGCGATAATGTACTCAGAGAGAATATAAACCTAAAAATTACTATGTGTACGTAGTAATCCAGCGTTATGCCGGGAAAACTTTGAAATTTGATTTATTTTGAAGGAATTTTTGCGAGGTGCAAGTTTCATTTTACGATTTAACATATGCGGAGAGAAAAGTTGTTTTTCATATTAAATTTTACTGGGCGAAGGGTAATCGGGGAGTGAAATGTAATTCAATGGGAAAATACCTGTTTGAGACAGTTCAATTTAAAATCATCGTCATAGAAATTTCATTCGGAAGCGAATGCTACTTCAGGAAGAATATATTGACAATATTGTGACGAAAGGAATTTCCCACTCTTTTTTTTATTTGTTCTCAACATTACTATGTTAAATAGTAATTTTCTGAGTGCGGCTGGTATAGTGGAGAAAATTATTTGGTGAATTTCACCAACTAGTTGGTGAAAAAATATAACGTTTTTGCGTTTTGTCATTATTTAATGACTGACGAAATTTTAAGGTGGTGCGAACATTTTCCTGCGTTTTCTCTAAACTTTTAAAAAGAATCACAAAACTGTAGAAAAAACGCATGAAAATTATCGCACCACTACGCAACTTCGTGAGCCATTAAAGAATGACAAACCACAAAATCGTTATATTTTTTCACGTCACTCCCATCGATAATTTGCCAGAAAAATGAAAACAACGTCAATTTTGGCTAAAAGGGTGTCGAACATCCTTAAATTTCAGCAACTAGGGTAAGCTACCCAGTCGATCGACACTGCCCTGTAAATGGACCGGTTACGTCTGGATACGAAATTACGCAAAAAAATGCTGAAAAGTTGCTTTGAATGTTCACTAACTGTTGTGATTCTCAACCCACGAATAGCGATTTTTTTCGACCAATTTTGTTTTCAACTGCTAAAAAATAAACGTTCATCTACTGGGCAGTGTATTAATTCATTTTTTCAACAACTAGTTGATGAAATTCACCGAATAATTTTCTCCACGTACACTGATAGAAGGATTTAGTTGCTATTAACGAGAATTAGCAATTCGTTAACGATTAACGAATGGTGTTAATAGTTACGAAGCCACGTTCACAGCAACCAAATCCTTCCATCTCTCCCATCGACCCTGCATTCAATTTATCATATTAGATATTACCATGATCCCACATTAAAAAATAATTTCCAACTCTTTCGTTGTAACACGGGCTGAATGGAAATCTCCATTCAGCGCGGGGAATCCCTGTCCATTGAGTACGAATTTTTATACAACAATGTTGCGGGTAATTACGGTAATTGGTCATTACTGCGGCGAGTGCTGCAGGTAATGTATGTTGACTGGATAATTATAGAGGCAACTTCACAGTGCGCGTAATTGGATGTTGATAAAATGCCTCCGGGGAGGTGGAAAACGAGTAGTTTAAAAGCATCCAAATATCGCACGTGATGTAGATTAGTCGCTCCATTCAAATCTCGATCAGTATGACATCGATCATTTTCGGTTATACCACGGTTTTTGGTAAGCAGTGAACAAAAGTTTCTCGTCGAATTTTAACCTCACAGAATAGAAGGAGCATCGAAATGCAGTGATGACATTTGCGAAAAGCGAGTGAGAAATGAATGTCAAATCCCAGCTTCTGCTGACCGAGATTTGAATGGATTGAGTAATCCATCGAATACCTCTCGTGCTTGAAAATCAATCGGGTATTTCTCTCGAGTTGACCTGCTGTGCAACACGTGCAATTGAAAACGTGCGTCTGATGCCGTCAAAATTCACGCACAGTCCGGAGCATCGAATCCACCCGAGTCGAATATCTGGACCTTATTCCCCCCTATTACCTCCTTGAGATATTTTTTCCTCCTTTCTTCATCCTATACATCCTGAATAACTCCTCATATGATCCTGCCTCATCCTCAAGGCGTAAAAACCCTTCTCAACTGATACTTTTTTCCCCCTTCTCCTCCTGTCGAATGAAAAGGAATCATAAATCCCCTGAATTAACCCTGATAGCCAGGATGATTGAGTAGCTCACTATTTTGTTCATTTCTGTTTGCGGTGAAAATTACTGAAATTCCCACCTTTATTTTTGACTGTCGTTTCTGACCGTTATTTTTGACCCTTATATATGACCCTTGAGTATGACCTTAATTTTCACCCGTACTTCTCATGTTAATAATTGAAAATAATAAAAAAATACCTCGAAAGGGTTTGTAGGTTCTTTCCAGGAGGGATGGAGTGGAAAACATTTTAGGGGGTGCGTAATTCAAACGTGAATTACCATTTCAAAAACGTATTTTACCCTCAGATTTTTCTTTGTGTTCACTTGTGCTCCAGCATTTGGATATTCATTTGTAATCTTGAATGAATTCCTGAAAAAAATTCTGAGCACTGGATTTGAGTACTATTGCTACTTATATTGAGTTCTGTTGGTACTTTTGAAAAGAACCAGCCAGCTACTCAGTGCAAGTACTTTTTTTACTTGTCCCGAGTAACAAAAGTACTTGTGACATGTATCGGGGTACTTCTCACCAGTCCCCAGGTACTTGACGCATGGTACTTGCAGCCAGTTCTTTTCTGACTTCGAGGAACTACAAAATTTTCCTTTTGAGTGATATCTTTCCTCCATTGAATGAATACCTCAAATATCGGAGTAAATACGTAAGAACATTAAAACACGATATTAGACACATAAAGTAATCTAATCTCCATTAATCCAGATTCATCTATCTCGTTAGACTTATCCACCCAACATAAAAGTCTCAACGGTGGGGAAAAAAAGAATGTACGTTCAATGGATTCAGGTACACCAGTCAGTCACGTTTTTCCTTCCGCACGTGTACCACATACAGCAGCCATAAACACATCACGCAGAATTCAAAATAGTAATGAAATATGTTCTCGTGAATTTCCCGGTGGTGTTGTAAATCGTCGAGGTGACATAGATCTTGCAAACTAATGGATTCGCGTGGCTCTACGTCTATATGTCTGACGGCCATTTGAAAATCCAACCCTTTGATGTCAATTGAATTGAATTCAATTCAATATCGCAACGCAGTTCTTCTGGATTTTCCCGTATTTTGTTACTCATCAAAGCAGCCGAGTGAGTAAAAAAAATCTTCTTGAAATTGTGAACAGATTGTCAAAGTTGAAGTAATTAAATCATTCCGAAAGTTGAAGGATCAAATGCTGTCAAAAGTTGAAATTAAATTCGGTTTTACTTTATTTATCATTGCATGCATATGTTATTACTAAATTCCACGTGAACTCTCGTGAAAGGCAATGTGTATGATAGATGTACAAGGTCGCACAGTGCTGGATTGCCCCTTCTATAACAGTCACACGGACGGTCTCCCCGGTGTGACCACAAATGCTGATGCAGTTTTGAGTTCTCTACGAGAGTTTTCTCGGAAAATACCTCTCAACTGCTGCACACGAGTTGAAATGTGGGCTTTTATGAAAAAAAGAGCACGTGGGGGAAAAGAAATTGGATGAAATTTGGTTTGTCGCGGAACCTCTGACTGAATTTTTCATGAGGTGGCGGGATCTTTTTCACTGTACGATCGTGCTTCAATTTTTTTCTCCATCGTGGCTAATTGTTGGAAAATTTATGATAAAATAGGTTGCATCAGAGAGAGTGCAATCGGTGGACACACTCAGAAAAATGATTTTTTGAATCAAATAAAAATCTTTATTTGAAATTTTTTACTTGTATCAGGATTTTTTTTTGTTAGAAATGAGTAAACTTGTTTACTTGTTTCAAAAAAAAGAATTTAAGGCAGTGTCTATTCACACGCTCCACGGTAACTTTGACCGTGGATATACAGGACGTTTTCCGTGGATTGAAGGTAATTTCTACCGTGGATGTATGGGAGATCGTGGATCCTCAACTTTTACTTCTCAAATTAAGTCTAGATAATAAACTAGACACATCGAATCAATTGATAAGTGATATGCAGATAGTAGACTAGTAAATAATTTTCACAATATATTAATTCGTTGGATACGAATATCAGTCTAGATTAACGCAAATAAAAAATGAAATAAATAGTTGACAAATAGTTGACTAAACGCAAATAAATGATGAAATAAATTATTTTTCTGGTGAAGTTCAGTGAATGGTGCATAGACTATTCTCGTAAAGTAATATCGACAATCATCCTAGAACGGTTCAATGAAAGAGCAGAATCATTGAATTTCATTGAAAAAACAATTCTCTGATAAAAAAATTGAATTTATTTTTTATATCTCAAGTTATGGTAATATCTTGACTCATATCTCTAATGAGAAAAAACTCAACTCATTTGTATTTGTAAATTTTTTATATTCATCTGCTCAGTCACAGCACGATTTCTATTTTTATCACCTTGAAATGAATGATAATGAGCTGTGACAATTAATCTCCTTGATTAAAGTGAATAAGTCTCATGATTATTCATGCGATAAGCCCTGGATCACGGATTTTCATTGTTGAATGGGAGGAATTACGTACTGAATATTTGATATTCTCTTCAGATGGTGGTGATGTAGTACCCCTGCATAAACGGAATAAATATTTTTTTGCCCCCGCTGGGATTACAGTGCAGGAGATGTTATTTTAAAATGTCCCTGTTGGAAAGAAAATATTCAGTAGTAATACCCCAAGAGCTCCAAAATTATCGGATATTTCCAGATAGCTTCGTTGCAAATCAATGAGGGTGTCAAGTTCTGCAGTTAAAAAATCCTGAGCGCTTCCGGGAGGGATTTTTCTGCAAAACTTGGTACCATGGTTTGTTTGCAGGGGAGCTTGAGGGAAATACCCGGTTAATTTTGAATCTCGAGGGGTATTTGTCGGATTATTATTCTCAATCGGATTTTGGTCAAGCAGAGTGCAGTGGACAACATCAGGAGATTTGAACAAATTAAGTTAATAGAATAACCCGATTTCCATAGACTGTCAAATATAAGATTCTATCTGAAATGAGCCGAAAAAATGAAGAGCTACTGCGAAATATTCAGGTAAAAAAAATGAAGAACTACTGCGAAATATTAAAAAGCTAGAAGGAAATATCCGAAATAAAATTGTCGGGTAGCCTCTAATACTGCGCTCTGATTGGTCGAAATCCGATTGGGAAAAATAATCAAAATAAAATCGACCTGAAGGCGTCACGTGACCTCAGGGAGGGAGTTTTCAGCGTAATTTTGATTCAACTTCAATTAATTGTCGCCATTGTGAGCATAATTTACGCTTCAACTTGAATACGCAACAGAAAACGTAAAGGGCGACTTCTTAAATGTAATTTCCTTTGAGTCTACTCTATGTGTATAACTAAAAATTTTATAATTTAATGTTTATATTAAACAGTACGACAAATTGGAAATGAAAAATCATACGTGCACGTGACACGGTTAATGTCCAGAGTGTAATAGGCGGTGAATTCATTCGAGAGGTATTATACGAACCTACTGTGTAAACGTAGAGTCAATTACAGAGGCGTTTGCTACGCGATTTCAATGAGCGTCGTGTATTCCCCCCGGGCGAATATTCGCGGAGGTCGTTGTTTGATATTGACTCCCGTCATTCACACGGGTCTCTTTGAACTTCACGCCCTGTCATTCTCATCAACGTGCAATTATTTCGGTTGTCAATCATCGATATTGCATGGAGAGGAAGACATTAGATTTTTGGTGGAGGACTCACCAGAAAAATTCCGGTGTTGAATGACGCTTTTTGATCGAACAAAACTTTTTGAAATTTTTCTATTTATTTTGCAAATTTTCCTTGGTAATTAATACAACCTCATATATTTATTCTGATGGAAATGTTGATGTTGTATTAAATAAATAAGGTATGTCACTGTTTACAGAAGTTGAAAATTCACATTATAGTTTTACTATATACTATAATATATATAATATATATAATATATATAATATATATAATTAAACTATAATTTGCATTATAGTTTTACTGATTACTGAAATTTCATGGAATTTCGTTGTTGATAATTCAAAATTTTATGAAAAAATCAATAGAAGCTGTTAATTTCAGTTCAACTATTCCCTGAAAGTTGACAGAAATATTTCTGTATTTTTTTCTTTACACTTTTCAATTTTCAATAAAGTCCAAATGCAATTCAGTAGCGAAGCGGTAAACCGGGTCAAGTCGATTTTTACTATTGGCTAGTTTTTGACGAATATCTCGGAATCTAAAAGAGATAGAAAAATCTTTGTTATGACCTTTTTTGTAGAGCCAATAGAGCGTTATAAAAAAAGTCATGAGAAAAATTTTGCTATCTCTCTTAGATTCCGAGATATTCAGCAAAAACTGGCTAATAGTCAAAATCGACTTAACTCGGTTTACCGCTTCACTACTGAATTTACACTGAGAAAACAATTTTCAAATTGTTGAAAAAATTGAAAAATAATTAAGGGTGTATTCAAGGTCATATGTAACATAATCATCTCTAATTCAACATAACTTGAATATTTAGAGATAAACATGTATCACCTGGGAGTGACAGGACTGGAGAAATACGCTCCTAATAAAAATACATTCTTCTCCCAAGAAAATGATTCCTTGGCAAAAGTATTTTTTCCCTAGTGTAGAACTAAATAGTCATTTTTTCAATTAAGAATTCAAGTAAATTTGGGATACCTCTTCTCGCTGCGGCTAAAATATGTGAAATTTTATTATTTTCCCACCAAATTGAATTCCGTGTCACAGAAAATTACTCGTAATTGGGAAATTGATCCACCAAATTTACTCTTTTTCTGACAGTGAAATAATAATTTCCAGGAGAGCAATATTTGATTTGATTGAGGGGATGAGGAATTATGGAATTTCCAGTTTTACTAAAGAGTCACTTCAATTCTAGCTTTCTGCAGGAGAAAATCAAGCATTCCCTACCTCTCTGTAATTTCCAATAAAAGGCATGAATATTCGGTACAAAGTTGTGCCGGATTCCAATCATTTTTAATTTTCGGCAATGAGTCTTGACATAAATCATTCGCGTTCAAGCCTCACTCTATCAATAAACAATTTCAATCATAACAATAGCACTTCGCATACGACAATAATCAAAATTCCTTCACCCAATGACTATCGGTTCCAATAAACCGAGAGTTCAAAGCATCTCTATGCATCAATTCGCATATTTCACCGATTCCCAATGGAATGACGAATTCTATCCACTCGAAGTGGAAAAATATTAATTCAGGTGGACACGCCAATTCTGCCAAAAATGTATAATTATAGATTAAGAGGATTCCACCCTGTTATCCACTGCAGAATTGTACGAATGAGAGAGTCAGTGGTGCACTGAGAGAAAAATCTGAAGTTCGATTTACTATAAGAAAATTGTTGAGGCAATTTTGGTGATCGATACGATTTTTTTTGTATGCGGCACATAACATTATAGTAACTTCACAAGCGTAATTTTTGCAAATCAAAATGCAGTTAAACTAACCAAAGTTCAAAAGTGACCACGACAAATCTATCGTGAGCAGAACTATAAAATAGTAGCAATGACTACATTCCATTGTAGTAATCACTTCTCCGGCCATAGTTACCGTAACCCATGAGAAATTATTGGGGACTTTTCGACTATAGTGCGATGGTGATGGAATATAGTCAGAAGAATTATATTTTTCTCTCAATGTGAAAGACCGTATTGGCACAGACGAAAAAAAAACATTCACCAATCAAATCCATTTTTTCCTCATATTCCCGGAGACTATTCGGGGAGAATGGGGGACTTCGCATGCTTTTTCTTCTCGGCATTTGGAGAGAATAGGTTTGATCTCTCAGATATTGACGGAAAAGGAGAAAAAATGGGGGAAACGAAGGGAAAAAACTCGAGAAAACAGGGAGAGTGAGATCAATTCCCCGGCGATGTTTGCTCTTCTTATTTTATCACCGGGAAGAAACAACGAGATACTATTTTTATTGTGGTGTGCACGACGGAAAAATTAAAAATACAGTGAGAAGAGCCCCCAACGGAAACGTCAATGTTTTTAAAACGCTGACTATTTATTGAACGAGTGTGTTCAGGCGTTGTTAGGCATGCCTGTTGTACGTAGCTCACGTGCGAATTGAGTATTGAACGCTGGCCGTTGGTTATCAGTATTGTTCGAGTGCTGAGGGGTCAAGAGTAATTCGGCACATCCGCTCGACCTTTCGAATGAGTTAGGAAAGAGCCCGGAATTTGGTGTTTAACGGTTCATTTGGATCTTTCCAACGGGACTAGCTGTTGTTGGAAAATTTTGGTCAATTGTTTTGTATTGTTCTGCGGACAATGAAAATTGGGGGATTAAAGTGGGAGAGGGGGAGGATTTATTATTTCACAGCAAAAATGAATGCCTGAATTTCACACACACACACACACATCTTTTGTAGACATTTTTCAGATACTGAAAAACGTTTGAAGAAAATGAAAATGTTTCGGAATTTCAGATAAACAGGTGCTCAAACAGCTTAATTCATGTTTGAAATTCAGACATTTTTTTTATTTTTATTCAGACGTTTTTTAGTGTCTGAAAAATGTCTACAAAAGGTGTGTGAAATTCAAACATTCGTTTTTGCTGTGTTAGGACTGCAATTCGGGGATTTTCCTTCTGAAATTCATCTAGCATTTTGAAATTGAAATAATATAGAGAGTCTTGTGAGACGCAAGGGAATCCATTGTTTTCTCGCAAAAAACCTATCGGTGAACAGAAGAAGCGATATTTCAATTACAAATTTTCAATGCATTTCGACTATTTTTGCGTTTTGCGTTGGAAATTACGTATCTTTTCCGTAATTCCGGAGCGAAATGTGGTCGTAGGAAATTTTACGGAACTGTCATGGAATTTTTCCGAAGCGTTTCGTAATTTCTATATGAATCTCCTGTGAAAAATTACGATACCGTCACTTAAATTTTATGAGTCGATTTCGTAATCGGTGAGTGAATTGTGAGTTCCGTAATTTTTACTGAATATTTCTCTCCGTGTACGTGACAATTTCGTACATTGTTCGGTGATGAACCTGAAAATTCACTGAACGCTTCAAATTTCTTCTCTTCCATTCATCTTATTGCGGATTACGTGACTTGTTCCGTAATTTTTACTGAATATTTCTCTTTGGATACAATCCAGAAAAAATCATCGTAATTTGCGGCGAATTGTAGGCAATTTAGGCTTCAACTTCACGCGTAAAAGACGACTTCTCAAACATAATATACGTCTTTCTGCCTTCACTATGGTGAAGGGAAAGAAAATTGTTTTTCTTTCTTCTTTCATCAAACAAGATTGACACCCTTAATATCGACAGAATGACTACTATCACGGTATCGAACCCGCGCATGGTCTTCCAGAGATCCGAAAGATGGAGAATACTCAAGAACATATTGATGATTGGCATCGCATTCATGATCCACTTCACGGCATTCATGGGCGCCAGTAATCTTCAGAGTTCAATAAACGCCGACGACTCTCTTGGCACATCCACCCTAGCTGCCATTTACGGAAGTCTCATCTTTAGTAATGTTTTCTTACCCGTCTTGATGATAAGGTGAGTGTTCATTACTATTCTTTGTAAATGCTTTGAGAAACTCTTTCCTTCCTTTGCCTTGAGTTGCAACAACTCCCCGTGAATTTTAAGGAGCTCCTGGCTGCAGTTTTCCTTTAATGAGTCCGCAGTCTAGCTTTTTAATTATCCAATTTGCAAGCTGAGAGGGGAGAATGAGGTATTAATAGAGATATATTCAGGATTTTGGGTTTGAAAAATTAATTCCATCATTTTCAACTCTTGAATCCAATTATCATAGTAATATTTGCGAGAAGACTTTTTGAAAAAATTTTGACGATCATTTCATCCCACTTTTTGTACGCGGAGAAACAAAATTTTAAAAAATCCATTGAAATAATGTAAAAATTACGTACGAACACATGATTGTAGAGCAACGTGTCGATTCAATAAAAATTATTGTTTTCGGCGCCCATCGCCCGGAAGTATTACTAAAAATTCCAATTTCTTTTCGCGGGATAACATAATTTTTATTCTCCCATGTATCCACCCTATGCTTACATGGGACGAAGAATGATGTAAAAATTACAGAGCGAGCTGACGTAAAAATTGACTGTGAATAACTCGGGGATATTATCCTTTTCAAATACAACACCCAGAAAAATGATTTATTTGAATCAAATAAATCTGATTTAAATCAAATAAATAAGTTTATTTAAACAGTACCAAATGAGTTTTTTAAAAATTAAATAACAAATTTTATTCGAAGTTTTGTTTATATCAATTAAATGTTGTCAATTAAATGTGTATTTATTTAGTTGAAATAAATACATTGCTTGCTTAGTATAATTAAATCCTATTTCTTGAAACAAGTAAAAAATTTAAAATAGAGATTTTTATTTGACTCAAAATAACCATTTTTCTGGGTGCACGCCTTCCAGCGACAGAATGAAATATGAATGAAATAAAAATCACTCCTTCCGTTGAAGTTACGTTTGACTTGAAGGGAATATTCATCTCGTGCCTCAAGAAATTTTTCCTGTGGTTTTTACTGCACATAATGTCATTCATGTTATCGAAAATTGCATAATTAATGAAAATATCACATTCAGCGTGAAAAAAACATCAATCTCCCAACCTCATTCATTTTCAAATCATGAAATGGAAACCCATCCAACCGAATGCAATCATTCTGACAAATGAACCTAAAAGCCTCATGAATTTCCCCTCCCGTTGCCACTGCATTCACCCCCCGGGGCATGTAGGAGAGGAATTCATTTCCTGTCCTCACCTGGAATTATTAATGTTTGCATGCAGAGGCAAAGAGCGAAGAAATTCATTAATGATATTCCCTATTTGTTTCCTTTCAGCTTTCTGGGGTGTAAATGGACGATATCAGTGTCGTTCGTAACGTACATGCCGTTCATAGCGGCTCAATTCTACCCCCGATTTTACACAATGATCCCGGCGGGACTGGCTGTTGGTTTGGGTGGTGGTCCATTGTGGTGTGCGAAGTGCACATATCTGACTGTTGTCAGTGAAGCTTATGCAACAATTTCCGAGCTTGGTGCAGATGTCATTGTTACCAGATTCTTCGGATTATTCTTCATGTTCTATCAAATGGCGCAGGTTTGGGGAAATCTCATATCGTCCGCAGGTGATTGTGATTACAGTACCGATTCATTCATCGATAAATCGGTTGATGAAACACTCGCGAGGTATTTTTCTTTCACTGAGAAAAATCCGGGCTCGTCCAAGGGCGCGGCGCTTAATTCAAGGCATTGCGCTCATAAATGCGTTCAAGTCTCGCGAATCATTTAAAGCAATTTCTAAAAAAAACAGGTTTTTGAATCAAAGTCGAGGGCAATTTAATGATGTAGGGCATTGCATCAACTGCCTAACCCTTCAATTTTTATGCTATCGTAAAAAGGAGAAAGGAAATCAGTGGCGAAGGGGTAAAAGGAGATAAGTCAATTTTGACTACTGACCAGTTTTCAATCAATGTCTCGGAATCTAAGGGAGATAGCGAAATTTTTGTTATAATCTTTTATGTGGAGCCGATTGAGTGCTACAACAAATGCGATTACGAAAATTTCGCTATCTCCCTTAGATTCCAAGATATTCATGGAAAACTGGTCAATAGTGAAAATTGACTTATCTCCTTTTACCACTTCGCTACTGAAATCGATCTCGATAAATCTCGAAAATCTCAAATAAGCGTAAGCGTAAGACTGAAACCGAAGCGCCACTACGTGAGGAGATGAGAAGGCGAGTGCGTAACACGCGCGGCCAATCTCGTGGATATAGAAATCAAAGACATGAGGAGACTTAAACCAAAGGTTCCTGCTTTTGGATGATTTCCGTCAATGTTGAACCAAACTCCGGTGACACTGAATCAAGGACGCGCTTTTTCGACGGCGTAAAATATGACTCCAAAGACCGAAAACAATGAATTGATGACGACACCCTTGATTCAACCGCGCGACTTTGAAACAAAGTTGCCGCTTTTGAATTTTTATCAAAGTCGAGCGCGCCTTGAAGTCGACGACGGATTTTTCTCAGTGCAGCTTTGTCCACTAATAAAGTTTTCTGGAAACAGTCTGAAATTTTTATACATCAGTAAAATATTCAAACATTTGTAACAATTCAGAGATTTTTTAAACTATCCAACATTCTGAATTAGAATGGTTTTAAAATACCTAGTTTTTGCAGTGAGTGATCACAGAGAATTCTCGGAATTTAATCTTAACAAATTCGTCACTCTTGATAACGCCCATGATACCGTCCTGCAATTATCCAATTACCGTTGAGAACCCAGTGAGTCAGAAAGGGTCACCTGGGTGTAACACAAAACCTTTTCCCCCGGACGAAAGAAAGAAAAGATCGGTGAACGATAAAAAAATCTGTTCCAGTATTATCCTACGGTATGGAGGCAACTCCAGTGACTCTAGCTCTCAATAGCACAATAGTCGCTGAAACATGCGGTGCGAATTTCTGCAAAGCCAAGGCAACAGAGAACCCGAACCTGGCGCCACCCCCAGCGGAAAGAATTCACTTGATATCGGGAATTTATCTCGGTTGTATGGTCCTGGCATCTCTGATTGTTGCTTTCGGAGTAGATTCTCTGTCGAGGTGAATATATTTTTGTTTGATCATTGGTACACGGGGTGGAGGAGTGGAGGGGGAATACGAAACGACCGCATTTCTGCGCTAAACATCAACAGTTACGAGATATATTTTTGACTGGTTGAGCTATAAAATCCAGGCACTGGGCTGCAGTCTGACAAAAAATGAGTAAATCGTAATGTAATCGTAATGTCCAACTGTAACAGTCAGTTATTCAGTTACCATTGCGGTAATATACGGCTGTGTAAGGATTTTATGGAGCATTGTCGTAGGATACGTTTTCTTGGAAACGCTTGACATTTAATTTTCTCCGTTAATAGCATCATGATATAATGGGCCTCACGGTTGAGTGTATAGAATTCGAGGACATCCAATTAAGGAGACCAAACAGAAATTAAAGAATTGCGCGCATCAGATATCATTGAATCTTCATCTTTTCCATTTAATTCTCCGATCTTGATTGTTCCTAGAAAGGCTGATCCAGCTGGTAGCAAGGGATGGCGTACGATGATAGACTTTCGTAATTTCACTGGATAAACAGTTACAAATGCCTATCCTTTCCTCAATATTATCAATATTCTAGACCATACTGTTACAGAAAAAATGAAATTTCATGGATAGTTGACTACTAATTTTCAGGAGAGTGACACTGAATGCAATTTCGGGGAGAAAAATCACGAAATTTCAGGTTTCACTGAAAATTCAGTAAAATGTCAGAATTCTAGCAGCATAAAGATGAGAATTGCTTAATTTATTTGAATTCCCAATCCAATATGAAGATTCAATGCCAAATTGTGCCAAACTGTGAATTTTCAGTGAAATCAGAAATTTCATGATTTTTCCCCCCTAAATCGCATTCAGTGTCACTGACCTGAAAATTCGAGAATATATTTATCTACATTTCCTGGTTTGGTATTCATTTTCGGGAAAAAATGGAACTGAAATTGACAGTTCTCGTTAATTTTTTCCCGAAACCCCGTGTTCTCAATGACGAGATTCCTTAAAATTTCCGTGGAAATTAAATTCGATTAAAATTGCTAAAAAGTGTACCGGAAATTTCAGACGAAAAATTTTCAACAGAGTAGAAAATGAAATGAGTCATCAATATTTAAAAAAAAAGTTGAAACTGATCATTTTCCTTCTGCCACTACTTAGGTTCAATTGAAAATTCAACAACACAGCTCAATTCACGTAAATTTCACCTAAAAATTGAAATTCTATGTCGATTATGAACAGTACCACCAGATTATCCATAAAATGTAAATTTATTTTCAAACAGTGCGAATTCTTCTCCTTCTGTACATTTTTGTCGCATTTGCGCCATTCTTTCGTTACTTACGACTCCAGATTGTCGAAATATCAATTGAAGGTTCACATTGACAACCATATTTCACCCATTCCCCTGACATGAGGGTTTGTTATTGGAATTGGAAGAAATAAGATATAAAGTAGCCACAGGAAACGCGAGGATGCATATCCCGTGGATTCTTTCGGAAATGAAAGCGACGATTGTAAATTCCATGGCAATAAACCCGCTGAGTCCTCAGAATTGTATCGATTCACAGAGTCATATATTTTCGCGTGAATTTACGACTCCATTACAGTTTGTCTTTCCATGGTTTTAGATACGACAGGGGGAGAACAGGATCTGCCACGGGCCAATCGGGTTTTAAATTACTGGCAGTTACGTTGAAGTTGTTGAAGGAAAGACGGCAACTGCTAATACTGCCTATTACGATGTTTATTGGTGCTGAACAGGCCTTTCTATTTGCTGATTACAATGCTGTGAGTATTTTCAGTAGAAAATGTACACAACACGTCATAATTATGTTGTTAGGTATCTCGGTGATTATCAAGTTTACGAGGAAAATCCACTCACGAGAAAAAATTGATTCAAGTATATTCTATCCTCAATTGGGGAATGGGTATTTCAATTCGAAGATGATGGTTTGTATCAGGCCGGGTTGTAGCAAGCCCTCTTAAGTGCAATATAAGGGTCAGGCACTAAGTATCTGAATATAAGGGTCAAAAAGTGGAGGTTAAAAAATGAAGGTCAGAATATTCGGGTCAAAACATTAAAGTCAGAATATAAAAGTAAAAAAGTGGGTGTCAGGCAATGAGGGTCTAAATATAAGTCATATATTATGCTTGATCACCGTTCTTAGCCCTTATATGACCCTCATTGCCTGTCACCCACTTTTTTACTTTTATATTCTGACCCTCATTCCTTCACCTTTACATTCAGGCCCTCAGTTGTTGGCTCTAATATTCCGACCCTCATTTTTCAACCTCCACTTTTTGACCCTTATATTCTCACACTTAGTGTCTGACCCTTATATTACACTTGAGAGCGCTTGGTACAACCCCGGCTGATACGAAAATAATCATCCTCGAATTGAAACACCCATCCCCCATTCGAGGTTTAGCACATACTCAATTCAAGCAATTTTTTCCGCGCTATAATAATTATACAATTTTCAGTCATTCGTATCGTGCGCTTGGGGAATTAGCAACATCGGTTACGTTATGATCTGCTATGGCGTGGCGAATGCAATAGCAGCCCTAGCAACCGGCTCCGTCGTCAAATTAACAGGGAGAATACCGGTTGTGATTTTCGCCTTTACTCTGCATCTGGCTATCATCATAGCGCTTCTATTTTGGAGACCGAGTCCGGAACAGGGTATTGTGTTTTTCCTAATGTCCGGACTCTGGGGTGTTTGCGATGCAATCTGGCTGGTGCAAGTTAATGGTACGTGAATGTTTGCTGATCTGTATTTATGAATTTCAATTCACCTTCTGCACACACTTTTGGCTCTGCATTATCACAAGTAACCGGAAAAAAATTATGGGTGATTCTGTCTTGTCTCGGATGAACTGAGTGAATGGTATTATCCAATCCTTGAATAATTTACTCGGCGGAAACAGCGGAAATGAGTGGGACGGGATGTGGTATTAAAGTTTGGTTCTCGGGTGCCGCATCTGCAATATTCAAGTAGAATGGAGAGCCCCTATTTACAGAAAACACATGCATTGCTGCTCGTAGGAGGAACTATTAAGCTGCGACTTATCACCATTCGAGCGCGATGATTAGTGTTTTAAACCTCTGTTTCGAAGTATCTCCATAAATTCAGGGATCACTGATCTCAACGCGATGTGAGAAATTCGAGGTTAAAAGGAATTCTGTTAGATTCTCAATTCAATTCAAAGTTCTGTCTGCTCTGGGGAAGGTAGTTCAGACGTAACCAAATTTTCTTATCGAATTGAGTAGTTGCTTTCTGAGGAGCAAAGTGCGAAGAAGCTAATCCGTATTATATCGGGCCTGCTTAACTCATCTGCATTCAGAAGGAAATTTTCAATTTTCAGAATAAAAAATTACCAGAAAAAAATGTAAAGATTACGTTTCGAAACGTACGCCGCGAGCGAAGTGAAATTCAATAAAAAGTGTGAGTCGGAACTGATATTGTACGAATCGTCACGTCAATTCTACGATTTGTTCCGTAAAAATTAACCACCCGTCTGATGACTCACCGCTGTGGGGACCACAAGTCGTTCCGTAATTTTTCCCCAACGATTGAAAAATTGTTGAACGTTCAAGAATTTTTGATTTTGGAGGCATAATAAGTCGGCAAGTTTCTGTAAGATTTTACTTCTTCGGGAATAATTACGTGACAATTTCGTACTTTGTTCGGTGATGAACCTGAAAATTCACTGAACGTTTCAGATTTCTTCACTTCCATTTCCTATAAAAATTGCCGGACTACGATTCCCCATTGCGGATTACGTGAATTGTTCCGTAATTTTTACTGAGTATTTCTCTTCGTGTTGGATTATTGAACACTCGGATGGAATTATATATTTCTGAGTCATTCCAAAAGATACGTGGAATATGAGTAATATAAATTTTTTTAATGGAAGAATCATGAATTCTAGAAAGAGATTTTCTTAATTTAAGAACCCAAATGAATTCAAAACCCTAATCCCCTAAAAGGAGCGAGGATGTGCTTCAATTTAGATCGCATTAGAGGATGACACAGAATCAGAAATTCTTCGTCCGATTTTTCGGCAAAATCTTCTTTAAAAAACTCCAGAATTCATTGTATAATCACCCATTTTCCATAAATTCAAGGATTACTGATCTCAATGTCAGGTGAGAAATTGGAGGTTAAAAGGAATTCCCTGGCCTCTCGGTCGGCTATCTCGAATAGTATTTCAGATCCGACATTTAGATTCTTAATTCAATTCAAAGTTCTATCTGCTCTGGGGAAGATATTTCAGACGGTCGTAACTAAATTTTCTTATCGAATTGAGTAGTTGTTCCGGAGGAACAAAGTACGAAGAAGGAAATCCATATTATATTGAGCCTGCTTAACTCATCGACATTCAGATGAAGTGACAACTAAAAAAAACAAGATTCCGTTAAAAGGAGGGATAATGTGGCTTCAGTTAGATACAATTAGGGGATTACACAGAATTAGAAATTCTTCTTAAAAAAACTCATTGAAACCCCGTTATGCAATCACACATTTCAAATGTGGATCGTCATCCAAATCAGAGCTTCAATTAAAAGCTTCTCAAATTAAAAACTTTCGCCCTCAGTTTTAATTTAAGGAATTCCGTTCTTGAATACAAAAAAATCTCTCATTCAATGCGAGGAATTCTGAAAATTCTGTTTGATTTTATTTATATTTAATATTATTTATGTTTAATTTTATTTATAACCCAAATACTCAATATAACACCAAATAAACAAGATAGGGAAATACCCGGGAGTTGAATGGATGGCGGCAGAGAGTAAGGTTTTGGCACCGATTTCGGATCCATTTCATCAAGAGTTATCGACGGTCCTGTAAATTTATACAAATTGAACCTCACAAGGGCTAGAGCCTTGTGCCATCTATCGAAGCGTTTCCACAGACGCTAGATTTTTCATGAGAATAGTGAACCATCCTTCTTCGTTCGTGTAATACATATGGGTTAGCCATCAACCCCTATCTCCCTCCGAATGACCCAATATTTGTTGTGATACCGAATTGCTGTTTGCACGGAATTACGTTTGCAAGGAGAGCAAATGAGAATTACCACCAGCTTTTAAAGTAAATGATCCTATGAAAGCGTTGCTAAGGTGAACACATCATTAGTCCAATATTACAATTCTTCAATATTAAAAGAATCTCCGACTTACATTGATAAAGGTTTAAATATACTCATCGAAATTGAAAACTAGTAAAATAATTGAAATCTAAATTTCCGATTGATGATGAATTTAATAAAATGTTAAATTGGTTAAAAGCGCCAATTTTCCTACACACATTATTGATTAATCAAATAATTCGAAATTTGAGTATTCCAATTCATGATTACTTAAATAATTAAAAATTTTAGAGAGATATTAACGGATTGACTACTTCAAAATTTAACAGTAATTCTGGGTTATGGATATGGCTATCCCTGTGCCATTTTCATCGCACCTATTCTTTTAATTACCGACATTTATGAGGAATATTAAGATATTACTATAATTCATGCATTTTTATTGTGTTTTAACCATCCGAAAACTCAGTCGAGGGATTTTTAATCCCACTTTACTGCTATAACGGAGATACTAACATTTTAAAATTGTGAGTTTCTTAACTTGCGGCTTGACAATTCACTCAGTCGTAGCACCAGTTGATGTGGCTGGGATTTTTCTCTATTATTCTTCAATAAATCACTGTTCACTGGTGTTCATAACTTTCCTTATCAACTAAAATAATTAGAAACCCAGTTGTATTTCACTCTTGATACTCTTGGCACTGTCAAGATGATTAAAATGTGATAGCTTCCGACATCTGAACGACCAAGTTATTTGATCGTCAACGAGTTGATGCATAATCTTGGTAGGAGAACAAAAAGGGAAGAGTGTTAAATTTATGACCGATGTGAACACGACTTCTGCCTACATTTAATCTTTTTTTTATCCTCAATTTCATGGGGGGTTGTTCATAATTTTCTTACGCAGCGAAAATATTTTATCGCTCCCAATTCCGTACTCTCTCTACTTCATTCATGATTCATTTGTCACTGAAGAAACCATCAACTACAGCAGATTATTATTCATGTGGAAAAGTTTTTTGACATGAGCATCAGTCACGGAAAAGTAATGTACCCGAAGGGAGCGTATTTTATTTCTGAGTCAAGTATATGCATAATCCGAAATCTTGTACATTTAGTTTTCGAATGGGGGAGGAGTATTTGAATTTAAGGATTTTCTTTCGTATCAGATCCGGTTGGACAAAGTCATATAGGGGTGATACGAGGGTCAGGGTCACGGTCAGTTATATGCTCGCATCGAGAATAATATTGATGCATGCGGTATATTATATTCTCGATTCGGAATTATGAATATATCTGATTAGGAATAACATATGCCTCATGGAGGTATATTTTTCCGTGGACATATTCATTCTTTTGTCAAGACATATGTTTCAAAACGAAATATTGATCAATTTTTAACAAAATTTATCACTTATTCAAAATTGCTGTTCAAACTGTTCAATTTATAATGATTCCATAAATCTGTCAATTCCAATTGGGGATTTTACACTAAATTAGAAGACTTGAATATTTTCTGAGATTTCAAATCCCTCATTAACTGCAATTCACTTCAATTTCTCGCTCCGAAACTGCGGTCTAAAAGTAAATCAATGATCAATTAAAAAATCGACTGATTGTGAACATCCGAAAATGATCATTAAACAACCAATGAAATAAAAATACCTAAAGTATCACTTTCATTCAAATAAATCACTCGAACTGGAGAATAACTTTAGTAAAATCGTTTGTATCGGAGTATCGTTAACGCGATGCAACAACGTACAAGAAAAATCTGCACAAGAACAAATCGAATTCTGTACCGAATAATTGAATACCTTTTGAACTTGATATAATTTTCCATAGAAATCCACAACTTGAATATTTTAAATCGGAGTAGTCTTTCCAACAGTTGTTCAATCCCTCGTCATAAATAACTTTCCCACAATTGAAAAAGGATTCGAAATCAACTAATTCACCAACTGAGGGTAAGTTATCCATCGAACCCACTTCAATCGATAACTGATCTCTGAAAAATATGTACTATATCAGCGAATGGTAACTAGCAACAACAATCGATGTTGACAAATTTCGGGTGAAATTGGAATAGTATGACTTACTCAAATAATTTTCACAATTTATCATCTTTTCAGCGTTCATACCATGCATCCTCGTCGCGACCCAGAATAATGCTAAGCATTGTCATGGAGTGATATGAAATGCCATACCATGCGTTCTTGAATTTAATTTGAAATAATTTAAATTTATAATTAAAATTTATACCCCTCATGACAGGAGTATAAGAACAATAGATGAGGTGACTAGAATTAGTTCAAATTCAATTATAGCTGCCGAGATCGCCTCAATAATTAAAGCCATAGAAATTGAGTTTTACCAAATTTCGTTACGTTTCATTGCAGCTCTGAGTGGAATTCTATTCCCCGGAATGGAGGAGGCAGCCTACTCAAACTTTCGATTGTGGGAAGCAACAGGTTCCGTCGTCGCCTACGCCTACAGCCCCTACCTCTGTACAAGCACGAAGCTCTATGTTCTCCTGATAATTCTTGCAGCAGGTGTGATTGGATACGCAACTATCGAGATGACGGGGACTATCAAGAAAATTACCCTGATCGATCCAAAAACTGACTTTGAACTCGTGGGTAATACTGATCAAACCACGAAGGAATTGTAACTCAAATGTACCGATTAGCAAATTTCCAAATCATCAATGATTTCTCGAATAAATGCACAAAATGTTGAATCATGAATAACTCCCATGGAGATGATTTCTCGGTATTCCGGGCCTCGTACCACAATGTTCAGTTTTATTACCATGAACGTTTAGTGATTTTACAGAAATGCATTCAATCCAGTTGCTCTGTCACCTCAAATGCTATTATTCATTGTTTTTTAAATGAATCATGTAATGAAGGTTGTAATTACACTCTCCTTAGACACTAACATTAAATCTAATTCTATAGGCTACTTACGCTAACTATGCTCACTGGACCGATGAGATTTCACTTCTCGTGCTGCAATAAATTTCGTCACGAAAGCTAGCGCTCGGTAGTCACACGAATTTCAGATTTCTCTCCAAACCTCTTTATTAATATGGTATTTGAATTAATTTCTGCCTCTTTTATGTGAGAAGAGAGTATTTATTGTTTGTTAGAGGACGATTTGTATCTAATGCGAAGTGCTGTCCACAGTTCGCTATCACTTTTTTTCATTTTTTTGCTAAATATTTGGCAGATTTCGTCAAGGAAGAGGAACTCGCCCGCGAATGCAACTCACTTCCTAGACATTTTTTAGTTCTTCATAAGATTCGTCACAAAGAGTCCTTGAGATGCATAAATGATGCAGCGAAATAAGCAGCGAGGGAGGGAAATCTGACTTCGCGCCAACAATGTTTCGTCATTAGGCCGAAAAAAACTTTTTGACACTGCTGCTACGTTCACCTCGTGTCGAAAAGTGCCTTTTCGTTTACTCATAAACGAAAAGTCTTTTCGTTTACTAGTAAATGAAAAAAGGCACAGTTCGCCACTCGCTGAACGTAACATCACTGTCAAAAACTATTGTTCGACACATGTGAGACAGGAATTTTCAGCTCGTGTGATTGGCAGCCCTCGGCTTCGCCTCGGGCCGCCAACTTCACACTCGTGAACATTCTGTCTCACTCGTATCGAAATATACTATTCTGGTGAATACGAGTTTGCAGCCCGAGCCGAAGGTGAGGGTTGCAATCATATGAGCTAAAAAAGTTTTTTAGGCCGTATGTCGAATGATGTTTTTTGTCATAACGGCTGCAAGCAGCGTAAAGCGCTACCGTACGGCCGGAATTACGAAAATACAGTTCTCTCCACGGGAGGAAAAATGAAGAACACCCATGCGCTTACTTCATCCGGTAGTAATAGGCCTTTTCATTTTGGAAATCTAGGGTAAATGTTTATTCCGTTCATGAAACTGAAGAATATCCGGAAACATAATGCAAAATTTCGATAAATATTGTTATTTAAGATGGTATACTGAAGATTGAACCCTGAAAATTAATGATTTGTACGTAAATTCGGTAAAAAAAAGTCCGAAACTCATAGAGGAATTGACATCGAAAAAAAGTGTCCGAAAATTTAGTGACTGTTATTTTCTACACATGAACACGACACCTCCATTTTTCCTCCCTGCGTTGGAGAAATAGGGGAGGGTGGGGCAAAACGGCCCCCCTTCAATTGTCAATAACTTGTGAATGACATTGTGAAAATTCCCAGTTTCAACTTCATTTTGAAGATAATTTTTCATTCTTCAAAACGAGCTCTAACTCTTCCCAATCGGATTATTGAATCGGAAAATATTGACGATTGAAGCGGGACCGTTTTATCCCATCCTCCCCTTCTGTATCGTGTTTTCCGAGGTAATCTTTTCATTTTTCATGTGTAAACATCTCAGGCGTCCGGATCTGGAGTAATTCAGTAGATCATAGACTAAATATTACGTAACACTAAGAGGGTGAACTGCGCAACTCAATGTTGGGGCCTCCGTAAGATGTCGCCAACAGCCAGGAATGCATAACCCTATGCACAAGCGTCAATGAGATGTTTGCAGGTAAATTTCGAGCTCTTGAAAAGGGCTCACCTGGTTATTTTTCAAAAGTTCGGTTCAAACTCATGTCGATCAAGCGATAGTGATGAATCTGGATTCAATACAGTTTCCAACTTTCCTTTCATCCTTTTGTCATACTTTATCCCTTGAATCGAAATCATCACAACCATTTTTGGCGAATGATTTTAAATAGAATTTGCTCTCGGTAGACTTTTACCACTTACTGATGACTTGCGACCGTGCGATCTAACCATTTAAAGTCTTTGATCATCATCGCAGCCCCCATATACCCCAACCGGGTCGAAGGGATGTAAAATAACGATTAAAAAAAGAGAAAGAAATACGATATTTACGCTTTGACCGGACGATATCCTTGAAATTTTTGAGCTTATGAATACTACTTTTGCGTGTATGGGACGGGGGCGGGCAATGTCCAGGTAGCTGAGCTACTGCAATAAAACTAATTCGTAAGGGATTAAGTTTACAACCCTTTCACTTATAAGGGGCCCATACTACAGGACACTGCATGTGAATTATGTCTAAATTGTCATAATTACTCACGTCACCTATGGAAAAGGGCAGAAATTAACTCTAGTACCTAATATATATATATTTTCATAAAATGTAGTAGGAACTTTGGTTTCGCCGGTCAATGTTTCCAAACAGTTTTCTCTCAGGTTCATCGAGACAATTGAGTAAATGATGCGACGAGACCTTCTCTTTATTGATCGTATTCATTATTTATTTCAACAGTTCATTAATTTCTTCAGTTTAATATCTATTTACAACAGTTGATTGGATAAATTTCGCTGAAAACTGTTACGAAACATTAGCCCGTGGATCGATTTCCCTAGGAATGTGACACTCATTGAATACAATTTCACAAATTTTGCTTGTTTTTTTTAATACTCGTGTTAATATCCTTATAATAATAGCTACAAGATATTAATTTTCATTTTTCCGAAGAAAATACACATGTTTCTTCATTCTACAATTTTTTTTTGTTGCCTCGCAATTTTTCCAACTCCCTCACTTTTTTTTCATAACAAAATTTAATAACCGGAATATCTTTGTACAAACTTTTTTTTTTCTTAATTTTCCCCTCTTCTTTATGAAAAAGATAAGATAATCCCTTTTAGTTTACCTCTGCCGAGACTATAATTTTGAATTTTGTAACTCATCAGCTCTTCCATGTTTTTTCTTTTTATTATTTTATAATACAACTACGGTAATCAAAACGCATCGCTCATTCATTTTGCATTCTAAATATGAATCTTAAATACCTGCATATGCGCTCTTAACCCCTCATATTAATCATATTTTATCGTACTTTAATATTTCCATGTGTTGTGTTGTTTTCCTAGCTATTTGATAGCTATCATATAGAATTTATATTTATATTTCATATTTATATATTTATATATTAAAGGTACTTTAATATTACAATGCCTACAATTTCAATTAATACATAATGTATGTACAAAAATCTCCATATTCGCAATAAGAAAAAAAATATGAATGATTAAACATAAAATGTGATCTATCTTGTTCGGCATCATTACATTAATTAACATGTAGCACAATTTTAGGAGTACCATATTTGTTTTTATCAGACTGTATTCTATATCATGTAGAAATTCCTTCTTTCACATTGAATAAAAATTCTATACATTTTAATCCACGAAATAGAAAAAAAATGCATGAGCATAAACATTAAAAATTCAGACTTGAATCTTCATAATTTAACCGAGAGAATAAACATATAATGAAGTTGAATAATGGGATGAAACAATTAAAATTATAATCGTATACTTTGAATTATGGCAGAGTATTCCGGACTAGCATCGCAGAAATATGAATAATATTACTAAAAATTGTCTTTGTTCATTTCTTATTTCTTCTTCAAATGACAAACTCGTGGAGACAGTAAATTAAAGGAAACAATTGCTATAATAAGTAGTTATTACTTTCACAGAAGTTATTGCGCTTTATCTTAACTATAATTCTGCATTCTCTTTTAATCAATTCAGAATACTTAAATATTTTTTGTTATGTTGGCGTAATTCTAGAGAGTCTTTGAGCCTGGTGACACGACGGTCAATCGGACGAACAAATTAGCCGGACGTAAACATTGTTGGTTTAATTGAATAGTTGGATTATTTCGTCACTGAATTAATGTACTGTTCTCTGACAATTTCATCTCAATTCTCCTCTTGTCTGTCTTTTGAGGGGATACACTACTGAGCTTTAAAGGTTGACATGAATTTCCAAATATTGGGACCTTCCAAAGCGAAAAATCAATTTATGAATATTCCTGTTATAATCGTTGATCCTATATGGGTCAAAGATATTTCAAAAGCCTCACGGATATCATTTTTTAATTGCAGAACACTCAAAACCCAGTGGTGTATCCCGTTAATATCGATTCTGATAATTTGTGTTTACAAATGTGAATGAACATTTCGAGGAAACATCAACGATTATCGTCCGCTGTCCTTCGCATTATTATTCTTCTGTTTACTATGTCTATCATATGAATCACAAGTCTTTAAGACAGTAAACAATATCTATTTACACATAATACACGCCGTATACGTTACAATCACAATTCTCGTAGAATTTTATTATTACATTGTTTTATGGTTCTCTGGGGGGTTTTTCATCAGGCAATCTCAGAATGTAAAGAAGTGATGGAATCGTTCAGACATATTTAGCCTGTTATGTCTTGTGCCACAGCCCTCGATTCGCAGAGGAACGAGTGATTATTGTTCTGGTTAGTTTATTCATCCATTTGTTCTTTGTTGATTTGCTCGTAATCTCTGTTAATCGAAAACTTGAGGATTCTTTTAAAAATAATTCCAGTCTAGGTGAGGCGTTTATGTTTGTTTCTCAGTTTGGCTAGGGGAATGAATTCAGCCCACTGTTTTCGACATCAATCGAACCGTGTTCTTCAGGGCCTGCCGTTTGTTGCAGAACCAGATTCTTATGACTTCTCTCTCGTAACCGAGCTGAGATGCTAAGTTCGTTATTTCATTACCTGAAATTGAAGATAATTTTTTTGAGAATCTTGCAATCGTTGAATAGTGAAAATTATATATTTGTTCCTGATGACGCTGCAACTAGCGAAAGATTCGACAGCAGAAGATTTGTCTTAGGCGAATCTAGGGGTGCACAAATGTTTTTAAGTAATGTAACTCGACACTTAAATATCCCTTAAATTGAATTTTCCGCTGACGAATATTCTGCTAGTTACAGCTTCATTTTTTCCTCGCGTTTTTCTATAGTTGACAGACCGTCTATAGATGTTCATTTTTCTACACAATTTATTCCGAGGTTATTTACTTTCATGTGGATTACTGGGCATGAAGTCTCCAAGTTTGCTTCCAAAGACAAATGCAACAGGAGAAATAAAAAAAAATCGTGTAAAATATTCATAAAAAACAATTTATAATCGTTTTCTCCAAAAAATGTTTGGGAAGTAGACTAAAAAACCTAAAAAATCTTCTCGGTCTATTCTATAAACTCTAAAGAGGATTTCCCCCAGAGAAAATTGTCCGAATCTCTTGGATATCTTAAACATTTTCCTCTCGATTTATTCATCATCGGGATAACGACATGATGAATTGAAATATATTATTCTTACCAGTTGGATGTGTATTTTTATCAAAATGTGAGTTTAGTAGTTCCAGAGCCTGGGGTGTGAAGGACGTGCGTCGTTTTCGCTTTTTACTCGGCTCAACACCTATGAAGTCCGTCAGGTTATTGGTCCCGGCTTTGTACCTGTAATCAAACACACTACTCTCACTCAAATTCTGGCTCTCTCTCTCCCCCGATTGCTCGATTTTTATTCAATAAAATCCTTCCCCAGTGTTGAATTAACTTGGATCAATCAATGAGTCCACAGAAAGAATGGACAATGTTACATGAATTTCTCTCTATGAGCGTGAGCGAATGCGTATAAAACGGTTCTGTAGGGGGATTCCCAGTGATTGCTACGGGGATTCCCTGGAAAGGGCAATTTATATCAATTCCCACGAATGAAAGAGTCTCATAATTCATTACTTGAAAATTTTTTTCTTCATTTTAATTCATTTCAACCTGTCAAAAACGTTGCCACATATAGATTGATTGATAATAGATTGTTTGCGCAAATTAAATGCCTAATAATTCGTGATTTTTTATTTTTTTATTGATTTCGAATGCGATCAACTCATATACTAATTTTTCAAAATAAAATTATCGAAATCAAACATGCATTTCCATTCTTTTTTCCTGATAAAGGACCAAAATTTATATGAAATACTCCTCAATAAAAAAAATTTCCTGAAATTTTTCCATCTTAAAAATAAATTGTTGTAGATAAAAGAATACATGTCAAAATATTCTGCATATAATAACTATTACATATTTTTTTACCCGGAAAAAAGCCCAGAATATCCAAGGAATCTCTAAAAATTGTTGAATAGAACCCAACGATGAAAGAAATGCAAAAAGTGAGTAAAATGAAAAAAATTAAACATGTGGACGTTAAAAGGTAGTGAATACAACGACAAACGACAGTGGTGGAAACAGTGGGTTGAGGCTAAGGTGGCGCGGTATGGGCTACATCAGAAACCTGATTTTAATTAGTCCACAGTTTAATTACTCGACAGATAAATTGTACACGTGCACCGCATAAACGACCGGCCTTTCATCGTTGTTTTTTTCCCCGTGAAATTGTGAGAATGGCGGGACTTGTAACTACTTACGACTTGAGAAACTAAACTGAATGCTATTACTCCATAGTTTTTACCAATCTCAGTCATTTTCTAGAATGAATAATCAACGAAATCAATCAGCATAAACCAATTAATTGAGGAGAAAATATTGACAGACACTTTTATTACGGAATCAATCTGTCATGAAACAGACTAATGTCTTCTGCCGCGAGGGAAATAATCAATAAAAATTACGTATATTTTCCGTAATTTCGGAGCGAAATGTGGTTGTAGGAAATTTTACGGAACTGTCACGGAATTTTTCCAGAGCGTTCCGTAATCGGTGAGCGAATTGTGAGTTCCGTAATTTTTACTGAACATTTCTCTCCGTGTGATATTTTCTCCTCTGCCTCTGAAGAGATTTACACTACAAACCCAAGCTAATTAAAATTTTCGTTGTTGCTGACTGATAAAAAATCGATTCGACAATTAATTCTCAAACTTTAATAGATCCGCATGACTAACGAATTAAGAAATGAATGAACCAGCGTGACTGGAAATGCGAGAGGTGCATATATGCGGCACCGCAGTTGTACATACAGAGGAGAGGAGGGTCAGGGGAGGAAGAATGGACTTGTGAGAATGCGCGGTATTGGGGATATACCACCACCACTAGCGCGATAGCTCCGAGCTAAACACGAAAACGTCCAACACCTCTCTCGAACTCAAACCCCACCCCCATCTTTGTAGCAATATCCACGGTTAAAAGCCATAACCAACCCCGGGATCGTGATCGCACCATAATGATTCTCATTCTTTTTATTTTTCAAACTCTCTCATTTTCTTCACATTTTTTCCCTAGCTAATTCCTTCCTTACGCTAATTAACATTCCATGGATTCATTTGACGCGAATACGCAATTAATCAGATAAATTCAATTAGTGAATTACCAATTAGGACGCACGTGGTCGTACGCAGAAAATGTTATAGGGTTATTTGTGAATGTGTTCGGTAGGTGGAAGAGAGGCGGGGAGATCCTGTTGCATGACTGCGTGAACTAATCGCGTGACCTCGAAATTAGCGGCAAAGAACGGGATTATGGATAGAGTCGAATGGTAATTAATATCGATTGTTTATTTAGTTTCACTGTCACAGTTTTGATTGTACGGAGGAAAAAAATAGTCAAATATCGGATTTACAGTCACTTGACTACGACGGAGAGAAATTCGAAGGATAATTATCTTTTGTTTGTTTCCCCAGAAGAATCAACGACTACCTTCACCCTTTGATTACCAAAATTTTCCAAAAAGATTGATTAATGTAACTCACCTCTCTTCAGCCTCTTTCATCCACCTCGCAAGTACTGGCTTAATTTTCTGGGCGCTCTTGGGGGTGATATCCAATTTTTCAAACCTAAATCAAAAGACACTGTTACTTCCAATCACTCAATCAACTAAAGACCCATCAACGCTTCTCGAATTATCAAACTCAATCATAATTAACGTAAAATATACGAAAGGTTGAACTGGGTCATCATTGATTCACCGTCTTGTGCCAAGAAGAACGAATTCAAGGCCACCGACTAACAAAGGAGCAGTAAGAAGCATGCATCTTGAATTATGGGTGTATGAAACAAACAAATAACAGGACATTGACAATGCGTGCATGCGTGTAGGTCTTTATCTTTCCTCTTGGTGATGCCGCGTATGATGTTGCCAACGATACAATTATTTCTTTCAGATCAAACTATTATTCGGGAACAATTAGTTCAAGATAAACATCAGTGAGAGATGATTTTTAAATTATCTATTGAATTATTCGATTGAAATTTGACAATTGTGTCGGACCGCGAGTTGGCGACACCATGCCCAAGCTTGCCAATGCCCTGGCTCGATGACAAATATATAATATATATGAATAACAAGATAGTAGAGAAAATAGTGATAGATAATACAGAATTAATATAATACCAAGAACGAAATGGTTTTTTTTCTTTCATGAAAAACCCCGGACTTGTTAATTTTATTATCGATAGAAGTGCTCCTTCTTCGAATATCAAATATTTTTAACAACTTCGGAGTTTGATCAGAAAAGAGAAGGAAACTGTACTGCAGGTATACCCAAATAATTCCCTTCGCTCTATAAAAATATAAAATCGACCGATGAATCGATCACCATCGATCAAATTAGGAAATCATTTTGGGCTTCTCCTGGGGTCGAATCAATCTGTTACACTTTATCTGGATATAACTGCAGAGTTCGACTGAATAAACTCGATTGAAAAAAAAAAAACTCAATTTTGTTTCCTTTTAAAAACTGGTAAGTAAATTAAGTAGCATGAGGGGTGAACGTACATAGCTTGCTGCTGAGAGGCAATCTGCGAGGCGTACATCTGGGTAGCCAGGGCACTGGGGAACAATCACCAATGCTTAAGTTAGTCGAATTATCAACGAATAATAATACTAATTTGCTTATCGTTGCAATTGTGAAAACCAGTGTTGCCATAGTAGGAATTGATTATTTCTTCTCGACCAGAACATTCAGCGAGCGATGAAAAAAAGGTCTTCATCAAATATTGTGAAAATATTTAATGAAATTTACTCCATCCCCTTCGGCCTCTCAATCAATAATAAATTGAATCAAGCCCTGCTTTGGCGTACAATGGCGTCAATATATAAATCCTGAACTTTGACTCCTATTCTCGGTACTCATTCTGATATGAACAATAAAGCCGGATTCTTTCTTCCTTTTTAATTTGCAGTTAGTTATTCACTTGGATCAAATCTTCATCGCGACTAATTTCAATTTCCATGCCATTTCCAGTGACCTGGCACACTAAACTCTGACATTTGTATGAGAATTCTACTCTTATCACAAGATAACATAATTATTATGGTTTTTCATTATTGAAGAATAGGTGTTGATTGCTGTTCGCTCACCTGCATATAGCACTTTGACTGTAGGCAGGTCCCTCGGTGACGCTGAGCGACTGGCCTACTTGGGTTTGCGTCAGGCCGAGGGATAATCGACGAATTTTGAAGGCCTTCGCAAATTCCTTTATCTCATCGAGGTTGATACCATCTACAACATTATTCGTAGCTTCGTTGATTGTCGGTTGATCTATGAAATAATAGAAAAAAAAACAGGATTGTATCAAAGCTGAAGCTGGACATAATCAGGGATTTGTTTGGATAATCTAGCCAGCCATAATTTCTCATGAATCACTATTAATCAACCTCATTCCTTCGAGATATTCAAGAAATCCTGCGAATGTATTTCATTAAACTAGGTCTCCGAACATTCAGAAGATCATTCTAATCGCCGGTAATGGGATTACCAGACCTTCACATTTGTCCAATCATCTTATCCCCATTACAATATTCTCCTCAACGGTGGTCTGTTCGTCGGCATCGTTATAAAGTCAGAAAACTTGCATTGCAAACGATTTCCCTCGTAAATCTGTCAATTTAGTGTGTGTTAGCATCGTACTGAGGTACCACGCAATCCTTGCCCCACCGAGAGTCCGATCGCAATAAACAACACCTCGAGTTACGGTAATGCCTTTACGTACCGCGAATGGATGCGCCGATGAAGACAAATTCAGTTATTCTTGGGGGGAAAATCTTTTCGAAATGCTTCTCCGCAAATGATTCGCAGAAAATAACGGTGATACAATTCACTCAACCATTGGTAATCTACTATTGATTGTGCTTCGGAGCACGGAGATATATTGAATCAGGACAGATGTTAGCGGTGACTTATCTAGTTACGTCGAGGATTCCGAATATCTAAAGGTAGTGGTGTAGAACATTGATTTTATGGTAGATTAAGTTTTGCGGTATAGGGATTAGATAAAGAGGGGTTTGAATAACTGATTAATTTTGGACATCTGTTGGGGGGTCTGTTCCTGAGTAGTGGTTATGCACACAGAGAAAAAGTGACATAATATGACAAAAATAATTTCTTCAGTGGAGAACATCGCAGGCATATTCTACCAATTCATGGTAGGTTTCATTGGAGGATGATGCGGAATGAAAAAAATTATAAAATATTCTTCAAGAGACAAAGGAAGTTTGAGAGAAGAAAAAGATGTTATTGCTGTCTTCAAACTCACTGCAATTGAGAGCAAGTGACGGTTATGTTTTAGAAATATCAGAAGGTTCTCGTATAGATTTTGTGGTCATTTAATATGAAAGTCTCTGATCTATGATTCACTGAATCGGAGATTTAGTATTTTTAGTAATTTTCTCATCTTTTGACACGAAACAAACGATTTCTTGAGGCAAGAAATTATCACTTCATCGCCAAGTGTTCACGTTCAAGTCATGAACATTTCACAGGATTCTTACACAGTCTGACTCATTATGCGGACTTCTTATCCCAAGCGTTCTATCCTTAAAAGATGAGATTTTTGACGCAAGAAATTGGTTTTGCGATATTATGTCAATATTTCTCTCAGTGGATAAAGTGTATGTCCCAGTAGCTGAACGGCTGATTCATGGATTGACGATTTTTCGTAATAATGAGACATTTTCTATTGAAAATGGTAATGTGAACTTCACTTCACACTTTATAAATTCCTTCATTTCAATCTTTTCCGTAAACTTTGCAAATTTCCCATCTATGAGAACTATCACTACAATCAACCTCTATCCATGTGTCAACTTCCAACCCAACTTGTAGGTTCATATACCGGAACATCTACCTCATCTGCTCGAATACTCTCTCAGAAACCGTAATTCCCGTTTGCTATCTTTGAAAATGATCGCCTCAAATAATAGAATGCTTGAATTACTTGGAGAATCACTGAGTAGATCATCATCATCATCCTTCGGACTGTGCATGCTGCCTGGTGACGCCTTGACCCCCGTGCTCCCCGGCCCGTGCGTCGTAGTAATCGTAATCTCTCCATTACTAGCGGCCAGTCTATTAAGAGCAGACGCTGCCGAAACTGCAGGTCCATTGAGAGGTGACGAAGCATCCGGTCGTTCTCTGTGATGCTTCTCCGAAGACTGCAGACAAGACAGTGCAAATCAATGGGCAAATCCCTCCTCGGGAATTTCAGAGAGAAAAACAATTCAGAACGAAATAATCAAAAATGTGAGATGTCAGGTGCCCCGAAGCATCGGCAAATTGTGACATTTTGATCGTACCTGGTAGTGGTTGAGGTGGGAGGTATGTCGATGGCTATGCTGTTGCTGTTGCGGTGAGGTGGTGAGAAGTGGCTGTTGCGATGCCTGAGCTGCTTGGACCGCTTGGGCAGCTTGTGCCTGGGCTGCCTGTGCGGCTTGAAGAAGCTGTTGTGGTTGCATGGCATTCAGTAGCTGCTGACTTGCAGAACTGTTACTCAATAGGTGTGGGAGAGCCGCGGGATTCAGACCCAATCCCGTTGCCAAATTTTGACTCGTTGGCACTGGAGAGTCATCGATAAAACCATTAAAAATTCATCGTCTCACAGGAATACGATCGCCCAAAATGAGCTTTCTCAATTGTTCGTTGCTGATTTTATAGAAGGATAACTCACCATTGGTCGATGTATTCATCATAGTTTGAGGCTGTGCAATTGACTGTAGATTAGCTAATGTCGTTGATACAACTTGTCCATTACTCAGCGCCAAATTAACCATTTGATTATTCGTCACATGGCTAACTGGAATGGTGAGTATCGTTTGCGTTGCAATACCTAAACAACATAAAGTAAAACGACATTAATCCCAACCCAAACCAACAAATTAATACGATGACACGGGCCTCAGAGGATTTCCATTAAATGTTATATCGTACTACTTCAACGTACGAAATCCGAGTAAGGGTTTTGAAGCTGTTGGAGTCTCATAGAGGGATTATTAAGCAACCCATAGGGCAGGTTACTCGTGCAGAGGCCAGTGTAGTTGGCAAACTATTATCGTCATCTTGGGCGTATATGAGGAAGTGCGGAGTGAGAAGGAGAACAGAAGGATAGGGGGAAGGGGGGGGGGAGGGAGATGGCTATACTGGCCCTACCAAGTACTGAGGGCGGGAGACGGGGAAGTAGATGGCCCAGGCGTTACAGAGAGGACTGAGCTGCCTAATCATACTTAGAATAGTTTCGGGATTACCTCCAGTTTCACTAATCTGATTACCCCCCTACATGCCGCTTAATATGATTACTGATCTTGAGTATCCCTGTGTATGTACCTATAATGGCATGAGCAAATCCCCATCAAAATCGTCAAAATATAGAAACCATTGATGGATCAGTGGACATTAATTGTTTATTCTGTTTAAATGTCAGGAGCTGAGCCGCGAGATCTTATTAATGCGAGGATTATCTTATTGATGAGTGATTTCCGGAGGAATTTCCTCAGCTGTGAAGAAGAGGCTGTTGGCATTTGTTCATTCTTGTCATTAACGTCAGTTATGAAGTATTTTATTGAATTTGTATTCGTAACTTTGATTACTAGATTTTCCTCAATTCTATCAGTTCTAAGTGGGAGAGAATTTGTCAGAGTAAAGATACAGTTGATAGGTCTGTGTACATACTATAGAAAACTATAGCATTTAATCAATTTAATCAATCACAGCTTATATTACTGTCCTTCGGGATTGTCATCGACATCTGATCCGAGTATTTTATTAATCTTTTATTGGTAACGGATAACTCATATCCCTCGATATCGTTTCAAAGCAGGTAATAAAGTATCGAAATGAAGCGTTAATTGGGTGATATGAAAGGCCGCATATAGATGGCATAGGATAGCATAAATAAGATGGCTAATGATTCGACAGGATACCGAAAACATAAGCAACCAGTCCCTCATTAAATCTCAACTTCTATTCATTCATCACTCTCACTCTATATTATAGATTGACGAATCAGCAGACATCAATGCTTGATTTTAGTTGAATGTCATGAATGGAGTCAAAGGATCCTATTATATTTGGATCACCTGAATTACAGCAAAGCTGTATTGACATTTCTTCCTAAAATTGTGGCATTCGACTACGGCATTCTACCAATTACATCGACAATTACTGTTGTTTATTAAAGCTATTGCACGAATAGTCGAGTATTCGATTAAATCTATATTGGTGACTGATAACTCAATTTTCCTCCATATCAGTTCAAAGTAGATAATAAATTATCGAAATGAAGCGACAATCGGGGAAGATAATAGAATGAATATAAATGGATGAACTGGCGTAAGCAAGATGACGATTGTACCGGCAGGATACCAAAAACGTAAGCAACCAGTCCTTTATTAACTCGATCTCTATTCATTCATTAATTCAGTGGACATGAATGCTTGATTTTAGCTGAATGTCACGAATGGAGTCAAAGGATATTATTATATTCGAATTACCTAAGCTACAACGAAGCTCTATTGACGTTTCTTCCCAAAATCGTAGCACTCGACAACGGCATTCTACCAATTATTGTACATCTAAAATTACTGTTGTTTGCTAATGCCATTGCGTCACTATCCGAGTATTTTATTAATCCGTATTGGTAACTTTGATAACTCAATTTCCCTCAATTATATCAGTTCAAGGCAGGGCAGAATGGATGTACGAAACTTTGACAAAAATCAAGTTACTGCTGAATTCACTCGAAATCGATATAATAATGGTTCCGAATCCTCGAGCTATTGCCGTGTCCAAATATTGGGAATAGCAATTGGAGGGAGTGGTCAAGGACGTTGGTAGAGAAATGAAGCGGAGGGAGGGGGGGGGGGGACAAGATAGAACAGAGAATGGGAGGGAGGAAGATATCGTTGAGGGTTTTGGAGAAGAGGTAAGAGTGTAGTAGTGAGACGTTAATTATACATTGAAATTAGTTGCAGAGTTTGCCCTCCGTTTTGCCCTAGCAGTTCTGGGAAGGGGGAGGGAGGGCTTCTAAGTACGTAGAGTGGAAACTCAGGTCCAAGCTGGCCGGTGATACTGGNGAGGGGGGGGGGGGGTACAAGATAGAACAGAGAATGGGAGGGAGGAAGATATCGTTGAGGGTTTTGGAGAAGAGGTAAGAGTGTAGTAGTGAGACGTTAATTATACATTGAAATTAGTTGCAGAGTTTGCCCTCCGTTTTGCCCTAGCAGTTCTGGGAAGGGGGAGGGAGGGCTTCTAAGTACGTAGAGTGGAAACTCAGGTCCAAGCTGGCCGGTGATACTGGTATTATATATCGAATGTGAACTCAATTGTGTAATGTTGCATAATAATCGCTTGTCGAAGCTATTATTAGGCGTTTCCAGCCCAGGAGGTGCTTTTTTCATCAATGGAAATTGGTTTATTTGATTTAGTTTCATTACGTAGCCCTAGAATCGCTGGTTTTGGTTATTCGATTGAAGGAGACGACGTTCTGTTATTAGATAATTTGGCTCTATTGGGAAATTTTGATTTTCCTTTTGCGAAAAATAGGCGAAACATCGACAATTTTGGAATTTCGATTCGTAAGGATTATACGAAATTATTAACACTTCATGTCGTAGAGAGGGGAGCATTAGAAAATGTCGATCCAGAAATTGCTCTTTTCGCCAATGTCGATTGGTTTATTTGATTTGGCGTGATTACGTCATTGCAGAATCGATGGTTTCGGTTATTTAATTGGAAATAGAGACGATGGTCTGCAATTGGATCATCTCGCTGGATTGAATTCTTCATTTGAGATATTCAATGGGTACTTTGGGTTATTGTTGCAATTGTTATTTGCAGTTTTTATTGGAGAATATTGTGGTATAACTCACCTTGAGACGTTGGGATTAATAATTGAGCACCTTGAATTCCTTGGACCAATTGACCTGATGTCAGGATGAACTGGGGCATCGCCACGGGCTGAGGTTGAGAAAGTAACTGTGGCAGTGTTGCCATTGGTGCTGAACTTGGGGGTAAGAGGTGAGAGCCTGCTGTTGTACTCGAGGGAGTTGATACGGTACCAGCTGGAGGATTATGAGTAATTGAGTCTTGCAGTTTTTGGAGATTATTCGTTTTTTGGGTGACATTTCGTGATTCTTACCTGCACTCACTGTGAGATTTAGGGGCGTGTTGATGAGCTGATTGCTGGTCAAACCTGCTGACATGCCTTGAAGTCCCGCTGCTAGCGACGCGACTTGCGGGAGGTTCTGAAGATTCGCTAGGTTTTGGAGGTTTTGGAGGGTCACCATTCCAGCCACTGATTTAAAAAACAACATAATTTCGTTGTCAGGAGATCGCATGAATTGAATAGGTTTGAAAATAAGTTGTAAATTGTCAGGATAGGTTTGTTATAGGTCCTGAAATTATCGATTACGAAAGGTTTTGATCATTTTTTCTAAATGTCTTTTACTGATATTTCTGAAATTCTCTGAAAGCAATAAAAGGTGAAATGAGAAATCGTAACTTAGTACTTTGAAAATTTCTATCAAATAATGCCTCAAATTATATTTAAAATAACTCAAGAATAATAACAAAATCAAACTACATTCACAAAATAAATCCAATTTAAAATTATATAAATCTTGAATTAAACCAAGCTATTAATCACAAAACCAAGAATGAATCTTTCAATTTCTTCCAAGTTAATAATAAATAAACAATCATCTCATATTAGTCATTAATTTTCCTGAGTGAGTTTCATTGTTTGCGCGATTGTATCGCCTGTTCGATACATGCAAGTTACTAGTAATTGTGAAATTTCAAATTGTGAAATTGTGAAATTTTAGATTTGACCGAAAATTTAATGAAATTCCACATTTTTGAGCGGCGAGAAGACGCGAATTCCCTTACTCGAAGTTTCAATAAAAACATGAATAATCAGTACTAAACTACGCCACATTTTCAATCATTCTGGACATCAATAAAAATACGTGAATTTTCCCGATTTCTATCAATTTTCATGGAATAATCGAACTAAAATATACCGTCCCACAGCATTTTGAAGTTTCAATTACGAAATTCCATGTTTTAGTGATACTATAATATGATAGAATTGGAAAATTTCAGAAAACCTTTTCTTGAAAATCTGAAAATTTATTCTAAACTTCATCCTCTCGAAGATATTCTCAAGATAATTTCACTAAGAAATAATTTGAAGTTATTTAAATAATAATTTTTTTACTCACTGGTCCCATTGAGATGTGCCTCAGCACTATGCTTCCCATGCGTCATATCCGGTGACGCACTCCTCCGTCTTCTCGAATTCTTCATATTCTCCATCAACATCTGATGCTCATGAAACGCCCCCGATGCTGGCTCTGGACTGCCAGCGCTACTTCTGTCACTCTCCTGAAACAATAACGAAAATTAATTGGATTAAATTTACAATCGATGGATTCACGACGATCAGACACTAATCCCATAATAATTCATGGATGGATTCGGATTTTCCGTAACCATGAGATGGTGCACGAGGGGCATGAATTTCCTCATTCTTGTCCGCCACCCCACGTCTCACTCCCCGAGATTATTCTAATTATAATAAATCGATGGCAAAAATAGGAAACCCAAGGAGCTTTTCTGGTGTGCAAATTACGTGAGGGAGAATGAGGGATGTTGTTAATTCCCACTGTCTCTGCGTGAATCGATAGAATTATTCCCGAAATAGCATCATTTCAACGTCTTTCTACACTCCAAGAGTTATGGACAATACGAGAGAAACAGTGAGAATAAATTTTGCGATGTGGAACTGGATTACGTGAAATTCGATGCAACAATATTTTTTCATTTTTTCTTTTTTTTTTTCAACTGCAGATAGAGTACCTGTGCCATCACTGTTGAGGAGATGGGCGGGGGAGGGGAGGGAGCTGGTTACGTTCTTATCGAGGCGCACGGTAGTAGCTGCCGTCCGGGCTTTGTTAGCAGTGACGCTCGATCGGATGAAAAAACGATAAAGCCCGGTCAATGGCTAACGAACGAAAATCGCCTCCATAGAATGCAGCCAGTTCAATTTTTTCCGCGTAAATTCGTAAACGATGTCCGGCGATATGGCGTACTGCATATTAAATGGCCGGGCCGAGGGGGATTAGCTTGCAAACGTACGGGAGTTTTTGCGAGTTTTTTTTATTCAGTCTGTCTTTTAGGGATAGAACAATTGGGGAATGTAGATGCTAGAATAACGTTTCGCTGGATATTTGGGTGATTTGGGGGCGGGGGGTTAATGATGTTGATTGTGATCTCATCATGCTGTTGAGACATAATCGGATTCAACTTGAAAGTTATGGTTTTATATTGTATTATATTACACTGTTGGAAAAATTTGACTGAATTTTTTCGGAAAAGACGTTGAATTTGATTTCAGGGGGAACAGTCAATGGAATTTCAAGTTTTTCAGAAAATTTAAGGAGCTTTAATTAAATTTGATTAAAAAAAAAAAATTAAAGCTCCTTAAATTGAATTAAATTAATTATTTTATCAAAGTCAATTAAAGCCTTAATTTTTTAGCGGCAGGAATCGAAAATTCTACAATTTACCTGAATTTTCAAGTGAAAGCGAATATTCGATTCCTTTGACATTCTTCGAATTCCAGGAATTTTGAAGGAATTTACAGAGAATTCAGAATTTCATGGAAAAAATCAAGGAAACTGTTAATTTCAGTTGAATTATTCCAAGAAAATTCAGTTCAATAGATCCTTCAATTTTAAATTGATTGAAAATTCAGCGTAATTTAATGACAGTGTCTATTCACACGTTCCACGGTAACTTTGACCGTGGATATACGGAACGTTTTCCCGTAGATTCAAGGTAATTTCTACCGTAGATATATGGGAGATCGTGGACCCTCAACTTTTACTTCTTAAATTAAATCTAGAAAATAAACTAGACACATCGAATCAATTGATAAGTGATATGGAGATAGTAGGCTAGTAAACAATTTTCTCGAATACGAATATCGGTATAGATTAACGCAAATAAAAAATGAAATAAATAACTGACTAAACGCAAATAAAAGACGAAGTGAATAGTTTGTTACATTTTATGTGAACGTTTTCTTAACGATATTCATATTTGTCTAATGGGACAGTTTGATAATTTTTCCAACTTTTTTCTCCATGCACACTGTGAGAAAAACGAAGTAGTTCTCAAACAAGTCTTGTTTGAGCCAACAAAATCGTTAGTTGAAAATTACCAAAAAAATAATTGTTTCAAATATTGGGCTCAAGAGGCGGATCATTCATACAAGACGGTGATGGCAAAAATTAATCCAAGTACCTAATATTCTCGTCTCTTCCTCAAAAAGACACATCCCAGCATCAAGACTCAGACCCCCACAACCTCCATAAACATAAGTGCAATCGTTGATCGTCGCCGTTCAAATAAAAAATGACTACCAGTCGCATAGACCACGGGTCATCTCGTTAATGCAAAAAACGAAATCCGATGCCGATGGGTGTAAAAAAAATGCCCAGCTCTCCCCCCGTTGTCCTCCGCGAAATGGCCGAGAGAAAGAGAGAGAGAGAGAGCTCACCGTGAGTGGGGAATATGCGGGAGGGAAGTGGGAGAACCCAGCGACAAAAGGGGTTGGGAGAGAGGCCGATGCCGTTCCAAATGTAACAATAAACATTACTTATCGGCCCAGAGCCTTTAACAATGCCCGACGTGGCCCGAGGGGCAGGGGGTGGCACTCCCCCTATAAAAACGCGGAGCTACTTCGTTGTTGCTGTTGATTTTTTTTCCATCCACCCGATTTTTCCCCCTCTCTCCACATTTTTTTTCGCAATAAAGTAATTTAACCGTTTGAGTTATGGGTAATTCTCATGGCGCAGTCGCGCCTCTGCCTCCGACCCATTGATTAGTATTAATGACTTAGCTGCACTCATTTTACCCGAATAAAAGTAATTGGATTTGGTTTTCCAAACTCTATCTCGCTCGGTGCCATGCTGGGTTACAATGCTTTGACTCTGGTGGGTTTTTTTACTCACCCCTGTTACCTCTGCAGCCCCTCCCGCCCCACCCCCATGGACTCACACTGAAAAATCCTGACTCGCGTGGAAAAATACATTAATATCCGTTTGGCGCCTAATAAACGATACTCGTGCGTATCTCAGACTAATGGCTGTATTCCTAAATCTGGTAATTTGTGATTTTTGCTGGTGTTTTTTTTTCTCCTGGATCGGTAATGTGGGGGTACATTGCACTGCACTCTCGGTGGGATTTGCTTCATTTGAATTGAGTAAATGGGGCTTTGTTTTTTTCACGGAAGAGTGAAAATATTTAATTTTGTGAAATTTAGTTTCACTGGAGTTGAAATTCTGTCGCATACGTTTTTTCATTATTCACCACCTACACACGGAGAAAATATTCAATAAAAATTACGTATCTTTTCCGTAATTCCGGAGCGAAATGTGGTTGTAGGCAATTTTACGGAACTGTCACGGACTTTTTCCGGAGCGTTCCGTAATTTTTCTCTGAATCTCCTGTGAAAAATTACGATACCGTCACTTAAATTTTCTGAGTCGATTCCGTAGTCGGTGAGTGAATTGTGAGTTCCGTAATTTTTACTGAACATTTCTCTCCGTGCATTGATAGAAAATAGTATATTTCATCACTAGGCCGAAAAAAACTTTTCTGGCGAATATGAGTTTGCAATCATATGAGCTAGAAAAGTTTTATTCTGTACTGCATCTCACGATTTCTCGTCTGGGAATTGGTATTACATACTTCCCAAACTCGAAAACTTGAAAATCACTACAGAAAAATGTTGTTCCTGGGCTGTTGCGATGGGGTTTTTTTACTCGTGTGGTTGGCCAGTCCTCTCCTACGGCTCGGAGGCCAACGCTACACGAGTAAAAAACCCCATCGCCACAGGCCGGAAAAATACAATTTTTCCGTATGACAAACAGTATTTTTTGTCATGACGACCGTAGGCAGAGATTCACGGACGCTCCGCTCCGCGTCCGTGAAGCGCTGCCTCACGGGCGGAATGACAAAAAATTATTTTTAGAGAGATGTTCCTTTCTTGGAACAAATATTATATAGGGGAGCATGGGGCAAAATGAAACACGGGGTAAAATCTATCAGTGGGAAAATCTCGTCATCTAAAGGAGATAGCACATTTTTGAAGAGGACCTTTTTTGTAGCTTGTAAAATTCTCTAAAAAAGGTTTCCATGAAAATCGTCCCATCTCCCTTAGATCACAAGATTTTCTTGCTGTTTCATTTTGCCCCGTGTTTCATTTTGCCCCACCGTCCCCTACTATACGAGTAAAAATACTCATCCAAACAGGTGAATCCCCCAGTTGACCCGCAGGAGACGCTGCACCTGTCCGACGGTACTGATGAATTTCCACGGGTTCAGTTACTGGGAAATGGGTAACTCGCTGTATGAGACTCCAGTCAAGAGATACAGAGGGGCAGCAGGGGGCCGGAGGGTTTGCAATTATCACGTGGTCATTGCAAAGCGGTGTTATCGGGAGTAGAGAGAGCCGTGCAGACCCTAGCGCCAAGGCCGCTTTGTCTGTAAGTGTAATTAGTCGAGGAAAGAGGGCGGCGATGGCTGGCGGTTGGCGGGAAAGGGAGAAGTACATGTCCGGAGGAGTGAGGGGTGAAGAAGGATAACCGAGGTAGCTCATCCAGATCCCACCCATCCCCATTTCTCCACCTTCTCGTTCCACATCCCCGCACTGCCCCCCCCNGCCCCCCCCCCCCCGCTCACCCTTCTCTTCTGGTGCCCACCTTATTTATATGTAAATGAGCTTCATTTCACGATATTAATGTTCCACCCTGGAGTAGACCAACTTTGAAAGGGTGTGCTGGACTGCACGTGGGGGAAAGGACTGTGTCCTCACGGTCATATGTTTACAACCACTTGGAGTTTGAGCTCATTTATCTATGGATGAAGTATCAGAGAGAGTATCATGGATTAGATTCTCTTTCAGAATTTTGACGGGTTTATTTGTTCGACTCGACACTTGCAGGAAACTGTACTTTTTCAGGGGAAAAATATATACTTGATGAAAGTATATTGTATACTCGAATGGGGGATGCACAGCAAAAACGAATGTCCAAATTTCACGCACCTTTTGTAGACATTTTTCAGAGACTAGACGGAGAGAAATATTCAGTAAAAATTACGGAACAATTCACGTAATCCACAATGGGGAATCGTTTTCCGATTGCAAACTAAGATTCTACGTATTTCGTCCAGGAAAAACTATCGTAAATATTCTTCTCCCCCTGGATAACACCAGTTAACAACCTTCTCCCTCGCGTGCACACCAACTGACAACCACCCCAGCAACTAATTAACGGACAATGCCCGTTTAAGAAAACACGATCGAATATTCGTAA